AACGGTGGTCGAGTTAGCAAAGGTTGTTTTAATGATTGTAAATACTTAAGATGCAGCAGTTTTTCTTTCCATTTCTAATTTAAATTTTCTTTCTACTACATTAAAAGATTTGTGCTTTTATATGTATGGTTACGAACTGTACCCGTTTTTGTGACGGGTGCCGAACGCTGAAGGCGCGAGCCGAGCTAGGGGTGTCCTGGGGAATGCTTCCCCGGAAAGTTTTCGCATTATAGAGCGTCGGAGACGGCATTTCCTTCATTTTGGAGACATCTTCAAAGGATTTGACTCTGAAAGATGACTACCGCTAAGGTTGTCGAAACGTCAGTCAACAACAACAAAAACAGTCTTTCTCAGGACTATACCAACCTGGACGATCATCATTTACAAACATGTAACGATACTCCCGGGTTCAAACCATTTACTTTAAAAACATTACACTTCACACTAATTCATAATGACAATACACAATTGACATAAAAAAATTACAACTAAAAACATCACACCTAAATCACACATCACAACTAAAAACATTCACACGAATTCACAATGACAATACACATTTCCTTTATAAACAATATAATGACGTAAGAACCAGATAACAAATACGGCTAACCTGACGTTTACTCCTCATTTGACTCTGAAGATGGTTACCGCTAAGGTTGTCGAAACGTCAGTCAACAACAACAAAAACAGTCCTTCTCAGGACTATACCAGCCTGGACGATCTACATTTAAAAACATGTAACGATACTCCCGGGTTCAAACCATTTAATATATATGTTTGTTTATCATGTTTTTACAGTAATGTATTTTAAGTAATAGCAATGTATGTGCTACAATCTGGATTTGGATATGCTTAGAATAAATCATAATAATTGTTGAGAGGAGTCATGCCATGTTACTTTTGAGGTTACTTTTGTTCCAGGTTACTTTTGAGAGGATGCAGTAATTCAACATGTACAAGCTGAAGTAAATGGAAGCTATTTTCTCATATTTATTACTTGCAAATGATTTCAACTTAAGTGAAATAGCTATCAAAAGTAAGTGGATCAACTCTGAAATATTCTGAGGTTGTAGTTTTATACAAAATGGAATGAGCAATATGAAGAATGGCACAAACTATGTGCATTTTACCAACTGCACTTAATAAAACTTTTAAGTTCTTTTTAAAATCTAAAAACTTAAAGTAGTCAAATATGTCATTAAAAATCCATTCAACAGATACTCTTGCAGTACTCATTGACTGATTGTAGTCTTGCTGCCGCTTTGTCACAACAGCTCCTCTAAAAAGACCTTGCAAATGTATTCTTAATGGATATGCATGCAGGATCACCGTAGATGCACATAGGATTTCCTGCTGGTACAAAAGAGAATCTTTCAAGATGTTGTAAGAGGTAAGCAAGCATGCCCCTATCATGCCTTCTACCTTCCGCTGGGCCATAAACATTCTCAACAAGGCCATCAGGTAATGCCACTGCTTGAAACTTTATAGAGTGAACCCTTTTATGGCCATTTTACAGCACTCTTCTATTCACACCAGGCCTGCAGACTAGACGAACTGTCCCATCAATAAACCCCAACAGTTACCAAAACAGCTCCAGATCTGTGTCTAGCATTGGCATACTCAACAAGATTTGCAGGTGATAGTAAGTTATGGTTGTATTCTGAGAGCAGATGATGCTAATGATCCTAGAGAAAATCAACCTTGTGGTTTGAAATGATAATGAGCTGAGGAGCTGGGTGAGCAATCTGCTAATCATGCCACCACAGCTGCAAGGGTACTTAAAAATTAAAATTTAAATGTAGAATACAAACTTGAACATAGAACATAAGAAGTCCAATAATACGAAAAATGTTCAACCTAAAATGCAAAAATTGAATTTTGACCAATATTTGACGCGATACATACTACTTACGTATGGCGTTTTGCTGACATTACAACGAGAAAGTGTAAATGAGTCGTTGCAATGTAATATTTTATCAAACTCACTCGCAGTTAATATTTCTGACAGATTCACCAGCTATGCTGCATAACATTTACGTGACAAATAAAACTAGAGGTGTGGAGAAACTCTACGTTCGTTTAAGAAATGACAAATTACAGAAACCTGAATTTTACTCTCGCATTCTAGTCGAGATGTCAGCAAATGCATCGTACCAAAAGTAAGTTCAGTGGACGATAAAAATCATTGCTTCTGTCATATTTTTTAAAAATTGTTTCCTTTATAAAGAAGGCAATTAAAGCGGGTGCAGTAATCTGGATAGAGAAGTATACTTTGGTCGTGTAGTTTCACGTGCAGGACTGCCGTGCAAAGGGAGCGTAAAGAACGGGCAGTGTTACCATTTGACGTATACCTACTGGGGTGAACACATCGAGAAAAAAGGAGATATTCTCTTGGATACTGGATACGCTTTTGTTACAGCTCATCGCGGAGATCTTATACCACCAAATGCCGTAATGACAGGAGTTCCTTACAGATCTGACGGACGCGTACTGCGTACATAAAAAAAAACTTGATAAAGGCACGCTTAAAGTCATGTATAATGCTTTTGTATTGCCACATTTTGATTACTGTTCTTTGGTATGGAACAACTGCTCCAATAGTTTACAGATTAAATTACAAAAACTTCAAAATAAAGCTGGCGGAATAATTACAGGTGATTGCTATAAATCTGCCTCAGACTCTGTAAGAGCTAAACTCTCTTGGGACACCTTGGAGGCAAGGAGAAAAGCGCAATTAGAGAATTTAATGATACAAATAATGAAAGGCAATTCTACAGATTATCTTCGACAGTTTTTCTCAATATGTACGAATGAAATGTATGAATTACGAAATAACAATCACGTTCTCAACTAGCCAAAACCAAAAACAAATGCCTTAAAACGTAGCTTTGCATGTAGAGGTGCATAGGCTTGGAATAACATTGAAGATAAAAGAAAATATCCATTGCATGCATAAACTTTATATATTTAATACTTTTTATTTTTATATAGCTCATACTTTGTTTTTTTTTTGTTTTTTTTTTATTTTATACCTAGATGTAGTATACTTTTTAATTTTATTTTATCACATGGCTATCTGAAAATCAACTTTTTTATTTTTATATGTAGTTGTATGTTAGGATCCAAGTTGAGATACTACCGTGTTCAAAATAAATGTAAATAATGATAATAATAATAATAATAATCTGACGAGATGCGTACTTGGTATATGTTTTGTCGTCAGTTTCTTTTTTATCATATAAGAATTCTGCAGAGAATCTTGAAGATATTTGTTCTAACATTTGAAACTATTTAAATTTAATCTACTTCATTTTGTAGCTATATACGTGACAGGCTACGCTCTTGTATGCATTGCATTGCTATTTTGGTTGTTGCATGTCATCACTGCTCGATAAAGGTTTAATGGACGTGATCGTTCAAGATGTCCATGACACCTTAACAATGTTCACTGCTTTAATCTGGTTCGACTGTGTAAAAATAAGCCTAACACGCAGCTTTTAAAGGGTTTGTTTAAAATGATAAAAATTGCGTTTTTTTATAATAAATGCTTGTAAGACATGCTTTCGTCAAATTGTTCTACCTCAGGTGTTGCATACTGAGCAGGTAGAAATAGAGGTTTTGAGCCCCTCCTGTAATTTTGGTGTCATATTGAATTTTGACCATTGAACTAAAATACATGGAACGCAACCTCAAGCAAATAATTGAAGCCATATCTTACGTCAAACACGCGAGATTTTACCCCAGAGACGCGTTTTTAGTGTTTCGAGGTTCTCTCGCGGAGTAATTATTGATTGACTTCACACGCGTGTCTTGGGTAGAGTCTCGCGTGTCTGGGGTAAAATCACGGCTTCAAAAAACTATTAGGGTTTTGTATTACAGGTAGCGTTCCATGTATTTTGGTTCAATGATTTTGACTTTGTTCACGAATCCTGAAATGCATCCTGGTTAATGCTTAGCGCTCAACGAGAATACCTTAGCAATTAACATACTTTTTATATTTAAAGTACGTTTGGTATACATCAAACTGGCACTGACCACCATACATTTTATATTTAGCCTTATCAACAATTGTCTTCTTGGTTACAGAATAGTAATTTTAAATTTGGCATTAAAGTCAACAATGATCCGTTGCTCCTGTCGCTGTTGCTATGGTGGATAAAAGTAAAAATTTGATATGAACATCTCTTCCCAGGAAAATTTTTCTTGAATTTTACATTTTCTGTGTATGCATAAAACGTCGGTAATTATTCAAACTAGCACGCAGAGAAAGATTATAAAGAAAGTCCACGAAGTGAAAGTAATCTCCGAATGTTTCATATATTTCCAAAGTAATGCATTGATCATTCTAAATAGGTATATGACCTACTGTTTGAAGTTGATTACCGTGTACTGCAATAAACTGAGTAAAATTACTATACATGTCTGTGTTTACAGACAGTCTTGTTACGTTAGTTAATGACCAGGGCAGGATTAAGGGGAGGGCGTTATGGGCGGTCGCCAGCAGCCGGTTTTGAGGGCCCCGCGCAGAACAAATATTTTAAAGGAATGTCACCTTTACACATAGCAAGAGCAATACAAAAACAACAACACGGGAGATAGGAAAAGCAACTTTAATGTAAAACGCTTCATCTAAACAGTCTTCGTAAATATTACAAGTTTAATTGCACATACTTTTTTCTTTCTAAACATAAAAAATTGTTACTTTTTTACAGTTTTTGTGGATAAAATATGTCAGTTGGGGGGAGCTATTGGACTGCCAAGGCCCAATGAAAACTTGATCCGCCCTTGTTAATAACTGCCCGACCGGCATTCTAATTCTGTCTAAGTCTGTCAGAGTTGAAAAATGAATGGAATGCAGAGTTAGTCATAAAAACTCTATTGTACTTATTGGTACGTATTTAATTTGAAAGATTTATGAATTTGATATGCAAAAGAACTTACCAACCATATTCAAATAAATTGACACCCCTAGAAGTTAATATCATTTGTTCCTGCTTACATGACGCTCTTCCAAAAAATGGCAGAAGATTGTACAAAGGTGAGATGTTTGAGGACGAAGAGTGTGAGAATTATTCTTAAATATTTATGTTTTATACATAGGAGATATTTGTTCTTTCCTGTGAAGAGAATGATTATCATTTTCAAAGTTTGAACGCTTTTACCAAGGTATTTTAATGAACTCTTGTACTAAATGTTTCGGAATATGTAAACTTTTAATTTTAGAATGACACCTTTCAAGTTGACAAAATTTGTAATGTTTGTTACGCTTGAAATACAATGGAAGATTCTTGTAGTAAAAAAAGTTTTCATGTTTCTACTGTGTGAAGAACTCAAGACTGACTGTTTAAAATTGTTCATATTCAACCACATTTTTATTTTGTTGATACAAGTTATTTTGTTATGCCTATGAACCTCATTTAAATAAATGTAACTTAAAAAAGACCCTACATGACCATGTCCGTGCACACTAATTTGGCACACTAGCTGATCTTTGGTTATATTTCATGAAACTTTGCTTTTATATAATAGTTTAACTTGTGTGGACAGAAAACAGTTTTTGTTGTAAAGACTATGGTTTAGAATTCATGATGCAGGCCAAAATTTTCAACTTTTTATGTTGCTGCATTTTCAACTGGATTACCATGTGTTGGAATAAATTATATCATAAGGAAAATGTCTGCAATATTTCATAACTTTCTCTCATTACCAGGACATCATTGATGGATTTTACACCATTCCTGGAGCAGGTCATGGTGGTCCATCCCTGCAACAACTTCATTTGTTTTATTGTGTCTGGTTTTATGTGCTCAAATTGAATCTCTGCATTTTTGAACAAAACATTGAAAGTACTATTATAAAAATAGAAGTTAAAGAGTCAAATAAATTTTCCACAAACTCACCAAAACAAAATTCTTTGAGTAACTTAAATACAGACTTTCATAGGTTAATTTCGCTTTTCACCAAGCAATGTCTTATGTTTGAGACATAATTTATGCCAATCCAATACTTTATTATATTTCTGCAAATTCAAGCAGCTTGTAATAAAATCATCTCATTGTCTTTCTATGTAAGAAATATTGAAGTTTTATGGCACCAATAACCTTCCCAAAGCCCAGGGGCGGGCCAATGCTCAATTGACAGGACTGGTTCAGATATGTCAACAGGGTGCTTTGTTGTCCAAGCTAAAGTGACCTTGGGCTATTTCGGGCTATTGTAGATTTTTATGCTTACAGATGGTGAATCTTGCATAAAGAATGTGTTATTAGCTTTTTAAAAAAAATTACGTTTTTTGTTAATGAATGCATAGATATTTATTTCAATTTTGATATTTCAATAAAAACACACATGATACATAGTAACTCAACTGCAAATAGGGATGGTATAGAATATGTAATTTCCTTTGAGATGATAAGTTCGACTTTTCACTCAGTCTTAATGTGCAATTTCCTAAACTCCAATACTATTGTAATAATGATCTGCACTATTATATCATTTTAGAATTTTTCTTTGGGTCATGCTAGAGAATTTGGGGTGTGCACCCCAGGAAAATCTGTCCCTGCCAAAGCCATCACCATAATGCTCTAACTATCAAACTTTGCATGGCACTTTTTCATTGATAGTGGAATAAAAGCATCTAAAATCACTATACCATGATACTCATTTGTATAATTTCACTATCATAAAAATTATAGTTTATCATAATATAGCAATAAAAACATAATGCATTATAACAGTATAGATATTAAATATGTTATTATTAGTATTACACTATTATTTTCATTACCGTGTTATAGTTTGATAATGAACTATTATCAAGATGGGATCATGCCATGTTGTTGGGATGTTTCAAGTACAACCTGGAGTCAGTTGAAAGGCGAATTATTTCTGGAAAATATAACTTTGTTGCTCAGGTAATGATAATCTTAACATATAGTTTGTTCTCAACAGTGGCACTGCAAGGATTATATTTTTGGGCAACAAAAGTTTTTCATGATGTCACATATATATTTTGTACATTGTTTAATTTTTCTGGCATTTTTCAAGTTATTGATATAAATACCTTGCTATGTGTTATATATTGATATAAGTAATGTTGCTTGATGTTTGCTAAAGCTGATGAAACTTTTAAATTTATGAAGGCGAAATGGAATTGTATAGTGAAATTTTTGAATAAATTAACTAAAAAGATTCAGAGCGAACAGAGATCATTTTCGCTATTTGTCAACCCACGTAATATGCAAATTGTTTTACTTGGCCACTGGGAAATCTACAGGCCCGTATTAAAGTATTTCAACTGCTGTGTGCGAGGTCACTCTAGTGGGGTCTGGGGCAAGCGACCTTTGGAATTTTTTCCATGTGGTAAACCTGCCATCAAACGACAAGCTTGTTTTACTACAAACTGCTGTTTAGCCAAAGAAAGTACATTTTGAGGACTCTGGAATTTCTTTTTGATCATATTAGTGGAGATTCAAAGGTGCCGTTGTTGAGTAAGTGGCTGTTTACATGAGCCCTATATGGAGGGCTAATCCTAACAAGCGAGATCTTGCATACTGTTAAGAATCCATATAAAATTGTTTTTCGTTTACATGAGAGGAGGGCCAGCCCTACCAGCCGAGATCTCGCTATGTAGGGCTGGGAGTTTCCCATATAAACGCATACGGCAGGGCTAGCCCTCCCTGTAGGCTGAAGATTTAAAACATTTGCATATAATAAGGTATTGCTTTTCTGCAATAGTTGCAAGAAACGGCATCAACGGGAGCTTATACACAAAGAAATCGCAAAAAAGTAAAAAGCAACAACTCTTTTGTTTCATTTCATCAGTTTCTGTATTTTAGCGCCAAAACTCGCTGTTGAAGTAGACCTCTTGATATAGGGCTAGAATTTGCATGTAAAATAGAGATGAAATATACGGAAGGGCTAGCCCTTTCTGAAAAGGTCGTGTAAAGAGCCTCTTGAACAGCATCATTTAACTCTTCTTGCGAAAGAACCCCACATCGGACCACATAAAAATCAATTAGATCATTAGCTAGAGTTCATTTAGCCTTTTTGCGTTGACCATGAAGTCTGTGGTCACATATGCAAATCAAGAACAACACTGGTAAAAGAACTCCTTTATTATTTTTACTTTTTAGTTTAATAAGAAAAGATTTACTCAGAGACGTCCTCCTCAAAATATATCCAGTCTAAACCAACCATACAATGCTGACCAGTTTAACTTTACCAAAATACCAGAAAAAGAGGTTTGTGATCTTTTTTGAAGTGAGAAATTTTCTATTTGGTAGAGATCGTTTCATCTGGCATTTTTTATTTCAACGGAAAAACACGACTCCCTTTCATTAGTTTGGTTTCCTGTTTGTTTAGCATCTTCAAATGGAAATTTGATTGGAGATTAAACGAGACTTACCAGTAAGTTGAAGTTTGATGAAGTCTACCGAAGCATTTGCTGCAAGGAGGAGATCACGCGAGAAGCACGCTTTTTTCCTTCAAGTTCAGTGTTTATAGCTGAGTAAAATGTTTTACTTTGTAGTGTGGGAACGGAACAGCAGATGAGCTTACGGGAGGGATGTGATCTCGTCCTTGCGTCAAATGCTTCGGTAGAATTTTCATCAAATTTCAACTTACAGGTTAGTCTCGTCTGATCTCCAATTCTACCTTGCATTTGCCTACAGTCAGAAATCACGTGATATTATTAATTATATATTGTTGAACTTAACAACCATTACACTTTGCACTTTGCTCGAATCCACAAGGTTTGCTTCTCACGTGATCTCTGACTGTAGCCAAATGCTTGATAGAATTATACAGTAACCAAAGCAAAACGCTTGCTCTGATTGGTTAATGCCCGTGTTTGGATTAGGCCATCCAAACACGGAAATTAGAATTGCTGTCGTCAGAATGTTGTCGTGAGAGTTTTCAACATACCTGAAGACAAAGATTTTTTACCAAAATTTACTTGCAGTTCATTTTTGGCCTATTGTATATGCAAACGAAAATCAAGATTTGTGATTTTCCAAAACTTTTTAAGTGAATAAATCTCGCTGTAATTATACCTTTTTTATTTTGACTTCATTGTCTACTAAATTTTACGGCTTCGTTCGCTTGGGAGAATTTAGCTTTCATATTTCCGCTTGTTTAAATTAAGCCTACAAAACTACCCTCTTTGTTATTTCATAAAACATTTACTTAAATGTTACTGTGTTTTGATGGCCTGAGTCAAACACTTGGGAATGTTGCTCGAGCTAAGGAAAGCCGAGTAAAAACAGCTTTTCTTAACTCTCGCTTGATTCTCGAATGTTTGGTCAGACCATCCTAACACAGTAACCGTTTGGTAAATGTTAAGTAGCATATAAGATATTGCTTGCCTGCGTCATCTTACTTTGACGTCATTTTTGTGGCTGTTTACAATATAATAGAAACTGGAAATGAATGATTTACAACAATGGATGCCATGATTAAAATACGTGGAGACACAAAGCTAGCAGAACTACAAGCAAGGAAAATTTTTATTCTTTACGAAAAGAATTTTCTAAAGAATCTTTTCGACAGTAGTTAAAATGTGTGCGTTCGGCATTTTTCTTCCTCCAGGATGAATGTAATATTTTAACCCTGGATATCATCCCTCACACGTAGATAAACGAACTTTGTTTGTATTTTCTTGAGAAAAATAAAACTTTGTTATTATCAATTAATGTTTTATTCTAATGTACATACACACATCGTCGCTTATTGTATTTTAAGGATTTTGTACACAATCGAAAAAAGTATCGAAAGTCTTTATTCCAAGCAATTGTGATATTAGAAAAGCAGATCTGCAATACGAGAAAGTCAGATCTGCCCCAAATGGGAGACATACTTTAAATTTTGAACCAAGATGTTGAGAAAGTCGTCTTTACACCCGACTTTTCCATTATATGACCTACCTAAGCATACTTATGTTCTGATTTTTTACTTTGACTATTTATTTCTATATTATTATTATTATTAAAGAAGTTCTTTTTGTTATAATTTTATACTCATATGGTAAAATTGGGACATCGTGTCAAAGTGTTAGATATAAGATACACATGAAAAAATAACATTTAATTACTAATGGATCTTCTTCTGACAGTTTTAAAATCAGTTACGCCTGCTGTCAAAGCTAATTTAATCAGTCTTAGATGAAGTTCTTCATCATCCAATATTACTAAATAAAATCTGAGCAGTTCTTTTGACTATCAATGTGTACTATTTGGTAGATAACGCTATCAAATCTTTGTGTAACCAACCTCACGTTGAAAACTGTTCTATCTATATGTTTTTCTACAGATCTTGTTTACGTTATCATCCAATAAAAACGAAGATAGTCGAGAAAGAAATATTGTTGTTATAAACATCAGTCCTTTGGAATATGGCAACGTCCTACTTGTCCCCAATGTTGATGGCCAGTTACCTCAGGTACATTGGTTGTTTATACTTATGAATCTTTACGTTTTTACTTTATATGTTTAACATTAAATATTTCTAACGATGAATTACTTTCCATATTGAGTGAAGCGTGTATGATTAGTGTTTTTTGCTGTAAGAAGGTGCTAACGGAGAAAGCGATTCATTTAGCAATGGAAACAGTCTTCCTTAGTGGAAAAAGGTATAGAAAACATCAAGATATGATTTTGAACATAACTTTGATTTGCAGTTCATAATTATCTGTTGGTGCATGACGTAGTTTTTAATGTTACAACTGCCAACATGAAGTATTTTTGGCGGAATCTTCATAGAGATTTGCATGCGTTTTTACACTATGTTTTTTGCTCAAGTTATAGAAAATAATATATTAATTTTAACACGGTTTTTAATATGCACATGAAAAACATGTGACTTGGACGAGATTTGAACTCGCACCTTCGCGATACTAGTCCGCCGCTCTACCTGTTGAGCTACCAAGCCCACAGGGATTGGAGACGAGTCAAATCTCTTTTAAACTGCGTATGGACGCGAGATTCTCGCCACTATAACAGTTTACTGGATGGCACCGTGTTTCGACTTTATTCCAAAGCCATCATCAGAGTATATACATGATATACTCTAATTTGAATAGTTCATGCTCAAGTTCATTCAATAATGATATGAGCTCATTGCTGTTGTTTTAAAGTTTTTATGCAGCTATTTACTTCAGAGATATAGAATTGTTATTTTAGATTTTTACACAAACAAACATTGTCGTACTACTATGTGGGACAAAACACTCTAAATCAATTTCTTGATTTATTATTAATATTGTTATTTTATGAATTTTTGGACTTCATCTTGATGAATGTACAGCACATTTTCTTAGGGACTTCCGTTTGGGATTCAACAGTCTTTGTGGCTTTGCATCAGTCAACCATCAACATTTCCATGGATTTTATACGCATCACACTTTACCTGTTGAAACTGTGGTATGTACAGCAATCATTAAAGTCTTTGTAGCTTTACATCAGTCAACTCTCAACATTTCCATGCATTTTATACACCTCACACTTTACCTGTCTAAATAGTGGTGCGTATAGCAATCATTAAAGTCTTTATGTTTTTGCATCAGTCAAACATCAACATTTTACACCCCCTCATTTCTTTTTTTATGCAATATCAATCTCAATAAATTTAGAGAAAAGCGCGTCATTTCTTTCTTATAATATTGCTGTAGAATATCCATCTCTATCCATAACTGACTCTGCATGTTCTATGTTTTAGAGCGTATCTTCATTGTGCGATGGTGTTTATGAAACTGTGGATTTTCCCATCACTACATTTGCATTTGAAGTCTACGATCATCAAAGTATGACAGCTGCAGCAAGGTATGGATCAAAATCAGCAGTTTAATGTGTTTTCGACTAAATTTTTTCCGTTAACTAAATAATATACATGAAAAGATTTCTCAATTCTCGTTGGTTTAGTGCAATTTATCGTAAATACCAGTGCAAAAAAAAAGGAAATATGATGCAAATGTTTTTGAAAATACGCAGTGCTTGATTTTTTGGTAACCATGTCTACAGTTCAGCATTTGCAAGACATTTCGAGCCAAAAATACCATTACTGCTATAAGTAGATACATTGTTTTTGCTGTGTGTGCGGAAGATATGGTGTTGTGAAAAATAATATCTGACGTATATGGAAAATACGAGCTGCTCGACGTTACTTACTTGCCGGCTGAAATGTACGTGCTCTGAAAAATCAACGGAATTGAGAAATTTTGTCATGTATATTATAATAGCATAGTTTCTCGTGCAATTTGGAAAACAAGCCATCGTGAGTTTTTCAATAAACTCAAATCGCACTCGTCTTTAGGACACGTGCGATATTAATAGCCTTTAAAAACTCTCTCGTTCATGTTTTCCCAAGTATTGCTCACGAAACCATGCTATTATCTATTTTAATGATATTTCATGACTGTGATTGGTTGGTTGCAGTGCAGTTAATCTGTAATTGCTCGGTGAAAAATTGCACCGTAAATACTGTAACCTGATTGGCTGAAAAGCAATGAAAGCCAAACTAACTTCTTCTCAATTTCAAAAAATCATGGCGGCAGTTGTAAGTAAACAAAGATTTCCACAATTAAAATCGTTTGAAGTTCAAGAAAAACAAAACAGCAAATATAATTTTTTTGAATGAATGTTTTTAAAAGTTAGGCTGCGTAAGGAGTCTTTGCTGAAACGATAGAGAGTAACGAAGCGAGAAAAAGCTAGATGGTACATTCAAGAAATATGTCAAAGTAAATTATTATTAATTATAAAATAAAGACAATGAAAAGCGTGCGCTGATTGGTCTAAAGCTGTGTTTGCATTAGCCGTGCAAAACACATCCGAGCTCAACTAATCAAATCAATCATAACAATCAATCAGTCAAAGAGTATTTGCAAATTGATCATGAATACATTTTAGAGTAAAAATTAAAATGTTTGTCTGTTTTGCATTATTGTTATTTTGTAAAAGAAATAAAAGATGTTTTTCGCGTTTGCACTGACGTATGCAAACCTCGGAGACGTTTGGGAGAACTCTCGACTTTCAGTCTCGGGCTTGCACTGATCTGCTCTCGAGTTCTCCCAAAGGTCCTCTCGGTTTGCATAAGCCTGTGCAAACACAGTAAACATCTTTTATTTCTTATAATAGTATAGTTTCTCGTGCAAATGCGTCTAAACATGCACTCGTGAGTTTTAAAGACTGCAAATAACGCTCGCTCTTCGGACTCGTCTTATTTCGCTGCAGTGTTTAAAAAACTCACTCGTGCATGTTTATACGTAATTGCACTCGAAGCTATACTATATTACCTATACAACTTTAATAGTGTGTATATTTGAGAATCATTGCTCTTAAAAAATAAATTTAAATTTGATGTTTTATTTTGTTTTCTACATCCAGTCGAATTAACAAAGTGACTTCCTACCTGTACGAAAATGAGATAGCACACAATGTTTTCTTAACGCGTGGCCTTCCATTGTCCTTAAAAAAAATGGATGGTAACAAGAAAGAAGTGTTAAGGATCTTTGTCTGGGCTCGAAAAAATTCAACTGGTAAGAACATGTCGCCGACTTTTCTTTGATCTATACTGGAATAAATATTTATAGTAAAAAGATGTTTTTATTCTTACATAAATTCTCTCGTTAGTATGTGTTAGCAGGTGTTGGGAACAATTGACATGGCTTTCATGACGTCATGCTCAATTTATCCGTAGGCTTCAGAATCTGTTGTAAAGCCTAGTTCTCATTCATTGCAAAACGTCGCAAGAATCGGCGACGTTTATCGTCGATGATCTGTAATGGCCAGTGCACGAAAGTTTTGCATAAATCGGCGATCATATACATGCCAATGCCCTTTGATATTCATACCAAAGAAAAAAAAATGGCTCTTTTAATCTAAAGTTGATGATTTCTGTGCAGCTTCAATTGTTTATAATGCAAATTGTCGCCGAAGTTGCGCGGCTCAGCAGATTGTCGTTCTAAAATATTTTAAAGCAAATAGCTCTCGGCAATGATCGGCGATGATCGCAAGAAAAAACTGTTTTCTTCTGGTGGCAGCGCTGATGATCGGCGATAATCGCAAGAAATTGTAATATTTCTGTTTGTAATCGCGAATTGCCTGATTTCCATTTTATTGCTGCTATGGCTTCTAAATATCTTTTTCATATTTTGCAGTTCGTTTATGGATACTTATGGATATTTATTTTGCCCTGTGTAGGTATAAAAAATGAGAACATGTTCAACATGGCGGTTTGTGAACTTGCAGGATTTCTACCAATCAAAGGTGAAATATTTAAAATAATATTTAATAAATAGCAAATATGAAAGCATTGAAATTTTAAAATTTACGTGGCTTACTTTGAAGTGGAAGTTTTTGGTCAGTGTTCAGCTAGAATAGTACAGAAACAAGGGAACGAAGGAGACGGAAGGGATGGTAGAGACTTGCATGTGACTCCTTCGTTCCTTACTGATAACAAGTTAGAATCATAATAAAACTTCGACTTCCAAATAAGCCTTGTTTCATTTTAAAGTTCTATCCTGTCATCAGGCTACGTCACTACGGAGTCACATGAGACTTCAAAGATCTGTACTACGAACTAATTCGTTCAACTTGACATAATCATATTCTTTGAAATCTTTACAATCGCGTGACCCAATTTACAGTCTTTACAAAACAGTACCCAGTTTAGATTTGCATTGTCTGTTGGTTAATCATGGACAATCCTACTGCTTCCAAGGTGTCGTTGATTTTAAGTTCTTTCTGCTTACAGTTGGATGTGGCAGCTGCACGAATACTACGCGCTGAATATTTACTAATGTCTATTCCAGCTGATAGAAGGATCTGTTTAACCCAACTAAATATCGTGCTCTTAGAAACAGGATAATAGGGCTTAATGTAACTCAAGAGTAGAGTTTTGTATGTTCCTTCCTGTATCGTTTGGTTCGGCATAGATATTCTATAAGAGGTCGGACAACAGAATTTTTGATCCTCATAAAAAACTCTTAGTTCCAATAGTTTCAGGTGTCGGCCAGGTTTAGTCTGTTTTAACTTATCATTAAAAAATATACGACATCTTTTTGGTAGCTCTTGTACACAGTTGACCTCGATGTTTTGAATGATCTGTCTTCTCTGACCCGTAGTGAGACATGGTAGTATAGTGAGCTTCAATGTAAGTTCTTTTGTGGGCATCTTGGGACATGGTCAAATGTTTTCAAATAATCCAAAACTACCTTGACGTCCCAAATTTCGGAATACCTAGGCAAAGCCGCTTTCAGCTCAAAAACACCTGTCATGCATCGTCACACCAATGAATGTTCACCGACTTAAAACTGTCTATACAGGCCATTACTGTAGTTCCGAGCGGGCAGTTTTTACGTTACTATAGTCATTTCCTGCAGCAAACATTGAGCCAAAAAATTCATTAGGGTGTTTGAGTTCCCGTTCAAAAACTTCAATATTGCGCTCCTAGCAATAAACTTTCCATCTATTTACAGACGAGGCTATAATTATGTTTGCTGTTGACTGACGTTTCGACAACCTTAGCGGTAGTCATCTTCAGAGTTCATTTGACTCAGTCCTTCTCAGGACTATACCAACCTGGACGATCAACATTTTCAAACATATACTCACCTTCTTGATCACATTCCAGCGAGACGCTTAACACTGACTAGCTATGCGCATGTGCATCTCTGTCATGTGACTCCGTAGTAACGTAGTTTGATGACGGGATAGAATTACACATATGTAACATTAGTGAATTCTTATTTAGCATTTTAAAATATAAAAAACGATAGGCATTTTGTTATTTCAGCTGTTACTCAAGCGCGTAGGAAAATGTTTGAAGTCAGGGGTGATCAACGGTGATCACCAAAGATGCAAATCTTTGAAGTTTAAAATTGAATTATTTACATGAATTTTTGCAGTACTCACTACATAGCAGTTTAATTTATCTTCTGTTTTACAACAAAATATTAGGATCATGAAATATAAAAATCTTGTTTATTCTTCATTCGCCCTTTGTGAACAATATGTAGTAATGGTTGACAAAATATGCGATTATATGATCAAGTCCATAAAATTAAATTTAAAAAATATGCCAAAAGCATGGCTGTGTTTGTGATATATGAAAATATATCCATGAAACATGGCGCGGTTGCTTTATTCTTTTCCACAAAAAAAGCGACTCCGCGCTCGCCCCAGACTCGTTGACCCATTTCTCACAAATAGAGGGCCTTGGGTAACATGCATTTGTAACTGCCCCCATGCTTTCTACGCCCATGCTGTTACTGACATTAGTATTTGTGCTGGTATTGATACTGGCACTTGTGCTGGTATTGATACTGGCACTTGGGCTGGTATTTGTGATGGTATTCGTACTCGTGCTGACAATGGTATTGACACAACTAAAGTACGTAGTGCCAGTACCGAAGTTGTACGAAGTTGTGGGACTATTAGCATAAAAACTGATTATGATAATGTTACTGGTATTATTTCTGGTACTGCTGCAGGTACTTGTACTGGCACTGGTACTGGTCTGGTAGTGGTAATGGTTATGGTAATAGCAATGGTAGTGGTATTGGTGATGGTAGTAGTAATGGTAGTGGTATTGGTTGTGGTACTAGTTACTAGCATAGGTTATAGTATTGTTACTAACAAAGGTATTTACACGACTTAGAGCTAGAATTTACACGACTTAGAGCTACATTTTTGATAGCTCTGTGAGGCGACACACATCAGGGCGCTCCTAGGCAGCAAATATGAAGTCATGAGTACAGAAGTGGGTCAACGGGTTTAAGGTGAGAATGGGGTCAACAGGTCTGGAAGAAGCGCGGAAGAGCTTTTTTCGTTCTAAGGCAAAAATGGCGATGAATCGTAGTAGTTGTTGATGACACTGTTTACTTTGCAGAGCGTTCTTGGTATGATAACATGACAGAAGAAGATGTTTGTGAAAAATTCAAAACTGCTGCATTAGAATCAAGGCATTACGACCAAATAAGAAAAGACATAATTTTATTACTTCAACCATAAATTTTTTTTGCTCAGAGGTTGTTGATCATAGAGGGGTCTGTGGCTGGAAAGGTCAGTCATTCACAATCTTATCAATACATTACATCTCTGTTCGTGCTACTTCTCTGTTAGTGAGCTCAATACACTGGCGTCAGCAGAAATGAATTCCATGTGTTATGTTAAATACGACATGCTTCGATGAAAATTTAAGAGTCTATAAAAATCTGAATCTTGTGAGAGACAGTGTCACTCTCCTTTTCCCCCTAGCCGTTGCCTTGCACATAACATACGCTATACATGCTAGTCCGAGAACTTCCTTGTTTTATGGTTTGAGAGGGGGGGTCCCCAGCCAACACGCTTGCATACTTTGTTAGTTTTAAGGTTGAAGTTTGTGTAAAAAAATTTAATGCGAGATTTGTTAATAGTTTCATAATAAAGTAGAGACTTTGTCTGGGTGACATCAAATTCCTCATGCAACAACGTCCGCTAGAGGAAAATAGTTTGAGCTCTGTTAATTTGATATCTGAATTTTCTTGATCATGAAGGGCGTCATAAGAATGAATGTTACCTGGACTTTTCTTTATTGCCTTAAACGTCTCGTTTATAGCGTCTGCATCAGGTTCAATTATTGCTCTGTTTTGTTCGATAACATCTTGCACTCCAGCTTCATTAATTTTTGATGCATATGTTTGATGAGAACTTAGAATATCTGTTTCGTTAAGTCAAGGGAAATACAACATTAGCAAACGGTGGAAATATAACTCAGGTTCTTTTGTTTTGTTGTGGTACCTTAACACAGCCTTAGATTTTCGTCGCTTCATTTGTTCCTTTTTGTTTATTAATCTTATTCGATCTGGAAGGGATTGTATTCTACCAGGCAATGACATTGTTTGATCTAAATCAAGTAATTTATCATCTAGTACTTGTGGTTGGAAATCTTTTGTCTCGTCTGAATCTGTTTTATATTCCATATAGTAATGAGAAGCAAATTGTGCCAGACATAATGTATCAACAGAAGGAATTGTGTTTGGTCGTAAACTGTAACGTTCAATAATATTGGATTTAAATATATCGGTGCTACCCTTATCCAAATCATCAAGTTCATTTTTTGATTTAGTGACACTGAGTCATTTATCTGGCAAATCTGTGTTAGCAAAAATTGCTTTTGGAAATATTTTCCGCAACCAGAGTTCTGGCATGCATCTGTACACACATTATTGTGAATTAATCTCTCTTGTAGAAAGAAACACTGCACCAATTTTTTTAAGCTATTTCGTATATCTAGGTTTGTGGCTTTAGCTCCTTTTACTGCATTAACAATAGCCTGAGAACATTCTGTTTCATCTTTTGTAAAGTAAGAGCAAACATATGTTATACACTTGTAAGTGATTGAACTCAGGTTGGAAATAAACATTTGTAGCAAAACCCTTAATTCCTGCAACAAAGTAGTTGTTAATAAAGCTGCTGTTTAGTGGGCAAGTCAACATCAGAATCAGTGGAAATTGATATTGCCCAATAATATTCTTCGCTAGTACCAATTGAACTCAAAATGTCTGTATCTGTCAAAGTTGGATCTTACTTTTCGTTTGACGGATTTAGCGCTTCTTCTATTATCTTCTTAACTGACGTGAGGATTTCTTTCTGTTTGTTTAATATACGAATTCTAGCATTTTCATCTATATTCTCAGAAAAAGGCTCAGCCACAATCGTTCTTTTGGTAAAAAATTACCCGAAATTAAAGCGAGAAGGGACATTTTTGTATTTCCTACATAGCAATCACTTCATACATAAATTTTTTCCAGTATGGTGGTGTACCAGGAATTTGACGTAAAAATAAATATGCCTGATGTTGAGAGACCATACTTTTTGATTTGTTTACATCTGACCTCATTTGTGATACTGTCATAGATAAACCTTGGATTTTTTTCATCGCTATATTAATATTTTCTGATACTTTCTTTTGTTCATTTACAAACTGTGCAAAGAAAAGATATCCTGGATTGTTGCAAATTTTCCTCTGTAATGTAAAAGTCTGGCATTGAAGTACTTAACAGGAATCACTTCGATTTTTCTTTCTTCTGTATGTCCAAATCTTCTATTGGCATACAATAAGGGAAACGCAAGCTCTTCACATTTTTTTTGTCCATCATTATTGAAATAGGATGTTTTATTTCGCCAGGTGCAATGTTACAAACTTCATTTCCCAATGAATTGTTTTCATTATTTTCTTCTAAAGAAACAGGATAATTTGGTAACACTGATTGCAAACATGTTTCACTTGTTGCTTGTTTACACTTTTTTTAAAGGATCGTCATTTTCTTCCATATCAATGTTGGGTAATTCCATGGCAATATTTTCCGTGTTTTGTTTTTTCTCAAAATCTACATTTTTGAATGTCACATTTTTCCCTGGACTAGTGAGTTCGATACTGATATTGTTTATGTTGATTAATAATACAATTGGTTGTTCATCTTGAGCCATTCCAAAGATTTTTTAACAAATTGAGGACGAACAGCTTCAAAGTACACGTGACGAAATATGCGACTGCTGTCTTTTTGTACAAACCTCGTTCAACGAGTTTTATCTGTTCTGGCTTGATAAGACTACGGTCAGATTTTCCTCCGTAAGGACTTCGGTAAGTCTTTTATTTGACTATTTCTGTAATCCACGATTAAATGCAATGCATACACCGATACTCATTGACTGCATAAATTATGAAACAAATTTTTGCCTTATCCCGGTCTTGTTACTAGATCTTACTTGATCTGTAACTGTAGACCATAATCAAGACATGCATGAATGTCAAATTACTGCAGGCGATAGTTGCTCTAAAAAACTACTGATCTGTGAAATCATCTGACTTTTAGGATTTGCATGATTCAAAAACAATTGATCGCCAAAGAAAAAGCTGCAAACACTATTGAATGAAATAATGCATACGTTTTGCAGCTATTGAAAATTGCAAATCCAAAACATTTTGGCCTTCTCAAGGATTAATTACTGCTGAGTCTATAAATTCCAAATGTTGCCAAATTTCCACTATGAGCATTTTTTAAGATCCATTGCATTCTTGGTACTTCAATCAGTTTGTGCAAACTAGTAGTAGCACATGATAGTCTAGTTTAGTTGCTTGTTTTTTCAGATTTTTGTTTTTGTTTTGATTTTTGTTTTTTCAGATTTTTGTTTTTTTGGTGTTTTTTTTTTTGATTTTTTGTTTTTTCTGTTTGCTTTTTTTATTGTTTTTAAACTTTGACTAAACGACAGTGGCATGAACAATACATTGGAAGTTGTTTGAGGTATCTTCATACGTACATCTTACGACAACTTGTGGTATGTCTATATTCAAAATGTTCCATGCGTTACTGCAATCATATATTAATAGATTTCAAGAACTGAAAAATTAATGTATTTAGGACAAATATAGTCGACTACCGATAAATTATAAAAAAACTAATGTAGAATTCATAGTTTTACATACTTTACAATTACTGTCAGCGGGTGCTTTATTGCCATTGGGATCAAGTTCCTAAATGGACGGTCACAGATTGAAATACTTCTCAATTTGCGTAAATCTTCATAAATACACGTATCTTGAACAATTATACGAATTTGATGAGGTTTCAATGCGTTAATTTATTTTATTTTCTTACGGCTTAGAAAGAGTGCTCCTCCCGCATTCACATTTGTTTAACTGTTTTGAAGGGTGATTTTTTCGACCGTTTGAAAATTTTTTGTCGCTTTCGCCGGCCCACTGTACTTATATTTCAATGGCGTTGAAGTGCCTATATCGCCTGTATAAAAATACATTCCTCGACTTTGCCACAAATATCACTACAAACAACAGCGTTAAAAAGCAGCGCGTTTGCAATGTACGTCACATTAGGTGAGCTAGCCCCGACTCACACCACCTCGCGGTCAAACACGAAAAAAAGCCAACTTTGAGACCAAGAAAGTCATGGAAGATAAAATTTTTGTCAGATAAAATATGCGGGCGATATTACTCATATAGGGACTTTAATGATTTATAATCCGCACTTCGTTAATGCATCGATGCTAACTGTGCAGTTTGCTTATCATACCAAATAAGCAAAGCATATATTAACATCTGAAAAGCTGATTTACACACAATATCAAATACATCTTACATTTTTCACCAACGGTCCACTTACCATGCCGGTAACTGAGGTCCACAAAGCGATGAACTTTTTCCTATCTTTAAAAATTGCTATCAGCATGCTCATATCAGCCAATTTCATTGCAAAAAAGTCTTCTCCATTGATTTTGTTATCTTGGAAAGACATCAATTTGTATTTCAATAAACATGAAACGAAACCGTGAGCTGAAATTTTTCAACTTACCTTCAAATACGGTGACTAAATTCAACAAATTATTAGCGTTTAGAAAAGAAACAATGTTTTGCACCCTAAAGCTTTCATTCAACAGTATGGACATTGCCGAGAAGTTATAATTTGCTCAAAAAACCGACTACAAAACCTCGATAAGACGCTAGTGATGTTCAGTAACTATTCGAAAATCTCATAACTACTCTCTCCCCCCATAAGAATGAGTGAGGAAAAAGTATATGTGTTTTCGCATATTTGGCAAGCATTTTATGATGAAAATCACTGTAAAAACAAATTTCATAAAAGCGAGTCTACTGCGGCTGCAGGTTGTCGGCTTCTACGACGGATGCCGTTTGACGAACGAGCTATTTGTTGGTCACATATGAATGAAGATGTGCGCGTCGTACTCTCATTCAATGATTTGCTCGATATCAAAGTGTGTAGTCTGCACGAAACAAAATATATCATATATTATCTCAGCGGATTACGAGAGAAATGTTAGCTCATTTATTCTCATTAGTTTTTTGCTTTCTTTCATTTGATTACGGTGGCCCATAGGTGTCACGGCACAAACAAAACTTCTCGAGGCACAAACAATAATCTCACCGCACAAACAAAACTCATCACGGCACAAACAATATCTCACGGCACAAGAGCAATATATAAAGAGACTGGGACTGATAAACTTTGATGAAATATGGTGGAAAACGAAGGCGAAAGTTCTTTTGACGGCGGCAAAAATATCACTCTCCAAAAGGCTATTTCAAGTACATGCGAATGTTTTTACGACCTAAAACAATGGATGACTTAGATGCTGAGGAAAATGAAGACTTTTACGATGAAGATATAATACGATACTATTTTTATAGAGATTTTATTTATGAAGAAATAAGAAGATTTTTACAGAAATACCACGACATATAATTAAGCATTAGCATATTAAAGAGAAGAATAAAGAAATAAGGTCTAGGAAGAAGGCAAGTTGAATACGTCACTACTGTAAGAGAATCAATACGAAATATTGTTGATGGTCATGGCAGTCTTCAGTGTTATAGGTCAGTTTGGCACACTCTACGACTTAATGGCAAACAAGTACCTCGAGTAGCTGTTCAGGAGATTTTGCGTGAAATATGTCCCGAAGGAACTGAATGAAGACGAGCACATCGCTTGAAAAGAAGGGAATATCGAAATCCAGGCCCAAATTATGCTTGGCATTGTGACGGCTATGATAAAATGAAGCCTTTCGGATTTCCAATGCATGGTTGCATTGACGGTGGAGTAGAAAGATACTCTGGCTAAAAGTAACTAGATCTAACAACCACCCCTTCTTGTCCGATGAATTAATTAGTGTGATAATATGTACATTTTTCAATGCCTTTTGACCGCACTTCAGTGTAAGGTGCTTGATTTGAAATTTTGAGAGCAACTCACGTTCAATGCGCGATATTGATTCATGTTCAATGCGCATGCTCAATAAATTTCATATGAAACAAAAATAGCGGCTTGATCAACTGAATGAGTCATATTCTGTGAGAATTTCAATTTATGGTTCTGAAGACGAAGTAGCACTTGTATGCCTGTTGCTAATTCTTCGTAGACACGGACATTTACGAGCTTCTTGTTGTAAAACATGGACGATTTCTTATTTCTTCAAAAGCAGACTCTCTTTTGTCTCCGTTCAAATCTGCTGATCGAAGGCCAGAGATCAACTAGTTTATCATCTAAATTTATCATCTAAAATTACTCCTTCGACTGAATCATGTTGTTCAGTCGGGGCCGCTATTTTGGTTTGATAAGAAATTTATTGAGCATGCGCTGTATTGGAAACGCCAAAGCAATTTGCTTCAAGACGCCGCAAAAGAAAAAATCGACTAAGCATTTCGCCACGCGTGCCAAAAAATGTCAAACATGTTAGATATTTGCCAGTTATGTTTGGAATGGCAAAAGTCGTCGGAAACAGCACGCGCACACGAGAGCAGCTTGCTTACGCCACTTGGCGCGAATAACATTTTGCTAAACACTAGCTCTCGTATGCACCGGGCTTTAGCCATATTCGTCCATGAATTACTCTTCGAGAGCATTTCTTTTCCGCTTATCTAATTGCTCGCCAGTATAAGTAGAGTAAATTCCTCGAAGAATAAACAGTCCTCGTTTTCTCTATAACCATTTTGCTGACAAAAATTACTTTTTTCGACGAAAATTCCAATGAATTTTTTCTATCAAAAATATTTCGATTTGTATGATTTTGTATTGCGTATTTATTATTTACAAGTGTGAGTACAAACACTGACGTCACGAGGTACTTCAAAGTAGTGTCCAGTGCCCGGACATGTCAGGATACAATTTTCGTTAAGAACAGCAACTTTAACCACCGATATTTTTTTTGACTCTGAAGATGACTACCACTAAGGTTGTCGAAACGTCAGTGAACAACAACAAAAGCAGTCCTTCTCAGGACTATACCAACCTGGACGATCTACATCTACAAACATGTAAGGATACTCCCGGGTTCAAACCATTTACTCCATAGGAGTTATGAAAAATATTAACGCTCATCGTACTCAGCGCATTCTAAACTTTTGATTCATACTAAATATAAATAGTTGAAATTTCGTTTCATAAACACTTTAATATCTTTATTGTTTGTAATCTGTCAAATTCTGCGAAACTAGCTAGGGATTAATTTCAAAATATTTTTGTGGTACTAAATATACCACAGTGTTGCTGAATATTGTAGGCAAGTTCAATTTCAACACAACTCTATTCTTAACTTCACATCATATTTTCTCAAAAATAATATGAACAGACCCCAATCCATTTCCTCAGACTAAACAACCTAAATTCAATCCATAATAGGAGAATTTTGTTGATTTGCACATCAATTTGAAGATATGCACATCTCGAAAAGTTTCACACCGTGTAACATGCATTTAATTAAAAAATAGAAATGATTTGGCCAAAACCAACATCAACTAAAACATCAAGTAGTGGCGAAAAACTTTGACCAAAAAAATGCTATCACACTGCAAGTATAGTAAAACAAGTATAGTATCACACACGTTTTCAGCATGTTTTATTGTTGAAATTTTATAGATTTTTTATAGGGTTTGGAATAGTGTCGCCAATAATCGTCGCATGAATACTATAGTTTAGTGTTGATTGAAATTAGGAGGGGGAGAAAAGTTTCCCTGGCATGAGCCTGTGTAACTCCTTTGACATTTTCGTCCAAAAATTGCCGTATGGCGGCATCTATGTTTTTGACAACATGCTGCTGGACTTCGAATGCCCGAATTGGAATACTTTGAAATAATGAAAACGATTGTAATTCAGAAGATTTGTATCGTGGTTTTGGGGGGAACAAAACGTAGCTGTTTATCAAATTGTATGGACTTGTGAGACTTTTGCAAATGATATTGCGCTTACAAACTCTCTGAGTATCGATTCACATGGCTAAATTCCCTCATCGAACACTTATAACTTTTAGAAAGTAGTTGCTTTAATTTTCTGTTAAAATCACTTAACCATGCCGCCTGCTACAACTTGGACTCACATATGAGGCATGGCCGTTTTAGCTTTACCATGCTGCGATCGTGTCTGACATTTTGGGATGAATTTTCGAGGCGTGACAAACTTGTCGCGTTGCTGCACTTAATCACAAAACAACCCATTTATGTGGAACAAATTGGGTTTTTTACAATTTCATGCACAAAAAAATATTGCTATCTAAACAGGTTGGCTATCTAAACAGTACATAGCAAGTTAACAAGATAAATTTACTGAAGCTTAGGCTTTATAACATGAAAATATCCCAATGTAATAATGCTTGACATATTTTTAGACTTTGATTGGTTGATTGCAGTGCAGTTTGTCTTTAGTTAAACTGTGAAAATGCGTATGGCACTTTTGAGAAGCTGTAATTGCACTTTAGAAAATGTAATTGCACTGTAACTACTGTAACCTACTTGTCTGAAAAGCAGCACAAAACAAACTTCTTTTCAATTCAAATAAAACATGGAGGCAGTTGTAAGTAAACAAAGATTTTCCCAATTGCAGTCTACACTAATTAATTAAATTAAATCATTCGATAGCTTCTACTTTTTATTGAGCATTGAGATGTTTGCCAAAGAAATAACAGGAAGCGAATGGTAATCATAAATATCAAAGCTCAGCAGATTGCATTTGAAAGAGCCATCTAATAATACTAATATAGAAAGTTAAATAAAAGACTTATTATATAAAAAGCATAACGTTTTGTCTCCATTCACAAGACATGATCAGACATTGATAAATTACAAATATAGTGTAGATGGTTTAAATGTTACTTATGAGTTTCTGCAGTATATTAAATTACATGGTTGAACAAAAGGTGTTGGCAGAAATGAATGTTTATACATGCATGTCATAGCTCGAAGACAGGACAGATAATAATGTATGATATATGCAGTGGATTCGTTCAATTCTCACTCGACATGATACAACATAGTTATCGAATCCATCACAAAGCATGGTTTCGTTAACCCATTACTAACAGGGATGTATTGCTATTGCTAATATATGCATATTATAAATCCGTAGATAACAATACATTTCAAAAGATATTAATACAGTATATCATGAATATATGAATAAGCGATAGCAATATATCCCTGATTATTAAGAATGCACTCTCTCAATATTCATAAAAATCAATGTCATTAAAAAGCTTTTATTATTCCTCAGCAAACATATTAATGTCTGCACTGCATCAACCTCTAATCTCTTTGACAGATGTAGACAACAGGGGGTCGAGCATTGAGCATTGAGCTGAAGGAAGAATCTTCACTAACTTATTAGACATGAAAGTGCTGCAATTAATAATTGAACTTCATTCAGAATTTACTTGTTGAGCAATCAACCTCACAATTTACAACATGCTTTATTCGTGTTTGTGGCTTCTTTTTAATTGCTTAATCCTGTCATTTGCAGCGGTAAGTTCTTGGGTGCGTTTGAGTAATTCGAAGTATAATTTGTGCTACATATCTACGTTTGTGCTTGTTATTAAAACAATATGCATGTACTTCTTTATGAAAGCATTGTATAAATTGGCTCTATTCTGTATAAACCTCGGTGCAAGTTAACCTTCATTGTAAAAAATCGTCAATTTTTCTAACTATTAAGCCTCGGTCACACTGCACTCGATAACGATCCGATAACGACACAAACAAAATTGCTCGTTATTCAAACTCTTGTGTGCGGTCACATTGCAGCGATAACGATAACTATTTATCGTTAGTATGTGACCATGGAATATCCTTATAGTTTATCGTTTATCGTTATCGTTATCGTCGAACAGTGTGGCAGAGGCTTTAACCTGAATGAAAGTAGATATTGAGAATTGTAATTCACGTTTGTAGGTAAATAAGACTTGGTTCAGTAAATGAGGGGCAAATATTTCATTTTACACGTTAAACGAACAATTTTTCTCCAGGGCTTTGTCTTCTCCTCTCCAGTCATATAGTTATGGCGAGTACTTAAATTATTTTAGTGTTATATTTTACATATAAAAGAACACTTTACTGTATAGTTGTATTTTAGATTCCTCAAAATCCTGGGATTTGTAATAAAAAGTTTGAGGGAAATAAGACTGTTGTTGAAGATCGAATTGGGGAAGCAAAACTTCTAATTTGTGACAGCGATGGACAGGAATTTCGTTGGAGGATGGTTGATGGTAAATTATTTTCTTAAGACGTTCTTTGTCTTACAGGCTTATTAGTATGTTTATATAATTATGCCAAAATTAGCATAAATATTGCGGCTATTATTATTATAAAAATATATTCTTTTTCACATTTTATATCCATTGATACAAGTATTTTCACACGTTATTGAACATATAACATAAATTGTACGCTTATACTAACGAATTTATATTGTCAGAACGCAAAACGCATTTGAAAGAATTTTTGATTCGCTTATTGACGTGTTGATTGCCAAAGTGAACGTCGTCAAAAGGCTTTTTGTTATACGGTGTGAATAGATTTTTTAGCCGATTGCAAGGCCATTATTTATTTGCCTGTCGTAGGTGTTTCATACGGAAATGTATTTGATCCAGCTAAGGACTGCTCGGATATCATGGATAGAGTTTCTGAAGCTCGAACCGGCGTTTACTGGATACAAACAGAACATGGGCCGCAAAAGGTTGTATTTCAGGACATTACTGATATGTATATTACACTGGATAACGCACCATGTATAAAATATAGTACGAAAATTGAAGCCGGAAGTTGGCTCACTTGCTTTTGACCTACGTGAGTTTTTATTCGTTCTAAAAACTTTTGATTCGAACAAAATTTTTTTGAAAGGTACAGAATGACTGGCAAAAATATTAAAACCTGAAATATTTGTCTTGGCTTTGTAATGCCAGGAGTATGAGATGGTACAAGGTCGACCTGCATTGTTTTGAAAAAAACTGGAGATTATATGATGCTGCTGCTTCTTAAAAAATGTGGAAACATTACAGAATTCTACTACTGCTGCCAAAATTTCATCTGCAATGACGTTCATGGAAGATTGCAGCAAATTTACACATTTAACAACACTTTGTTTTAGGTTGTTATTCATATCGCAAAAATCATTATAATTTCAAATTACGTTGTTAAACAAACAAATCGACATAGACAAATAATCAAAAAGACATTTTGATGAACAATAATAAGATGAAAACATCAAGCTCTACGAGATGTACATCATCAAAATATGCGAAAGTACCACTCTGTGTTGCAAGTTTTAAGCCAGTTCCTTTGTGAACAGCTTCAATATAGAAAAAAATATTGAAGATGTGAATACCTTTGTTTGCACTTTGTTGTAATTTAAGTATTAATCTTCTAAAAATGCCTCGCACGGCTGAAATTGTCTTCGTTCACCTTCAACTTTCAAATTTCAGTACAACTTGCCATCTTGTTTTGCAGTCGTTACAAAGCCAAGAAAACAGAGCTTTAGTGTTAAAACTCTCTACCGGTTTTCCTCTACATCTCGTAAAAATTTTGCCTTAATCAGAAGTTTGTAAAAGGAATAAAAACGCAAAAACTGTGATTTTGTATAGTTAAGTCGGACCAATACCTCCATGAAGCCAGTAGCAAATGATCGAATTACCGGCTTCAATTTTCACAAGAGATGCGTTATCCAGACTACTTGCAAAATGCAATAAAAAATGGGACCATTTATATCAAAAGCGACAAATAAAAGTATTTTACAAGCTCTCTAGCTTTATTTCAAACGTTTTATATTCACAATAGGCTTGGTGTGACATGGAAACAGATGGCGGAGGATTTATGTTGATAGGAGTACAAGATTCTCCAATAACCTGGGATGTACCATCATACCCAAAACTAATAAAACCATTAGATACTAGGCGTTGGTCAAGCTCATTTGGAAACATGTTTATTCAAGAATTTCGTATTCAAGTATCGATTTCAAAGAGTTTTGATAATACCAAAGCACATTGGTTAGAATTTATTCAAATTACTACAAAAAATATATAATTATATACGGTTAAAAAGTTTTCATACACTTTGTATTTGTAACAATAGCCGATGCTCAAGCCTGTATGTACATAACAAAATTTTTTTTTGTAAGATGGAAAGATGGTAAAATATGCAATAAAATCTTCAATCACTTTAGGTATTATCATTTCCACTCTCCAAGAAAACTGACTGAATTACTCCTGCGGGATTCTGGAGGCTGCAGCAGACTCTTTCCTGGTGTGGGAAATATTCAGTATGTAAAAGACCTAAGAAGCAACAAAATAATCACGACAAATTTTAATTGTTCAAGATTTGGTTCTCATTTTCATAAAAACTTCGGTTGGGTAAGTTTAAGATTTTGTTTTGCATGCGAGAAACCTGGACTGGCAGCAAGATTTTGTTGTCCACTTTTTAATCGCCACATTGCAAAATAGACAAGATAAGGAAATTATACTGCAATCAGTAGCGCAGCTTCCTTTTGCGTTTGATCAGAAAGGCGAGAGTTACTGTCTGTAATTGAAAGTGAATTATATGAAAGTAGGTTTTGCATATAATTTAAAAATTCACGGGGTTTGCAAAGTTTATATCAGATTCAAAATTTCTTAGATTGTAATGTTAGATGCGAATGTGTATAACACAAAAATGAGCGCATAAAATAGAGACTTGAATTGCCTTTAATGAATGTCAAAGAGATTTTTTAAAGTAACGTTTCGTCTTCACACAAGAAGGGAAATACGTTCACAATGTATTTTTTTATACATATACACCTAATGTATAACCGTGCCCAAGACTAAGCTCATTAATTTATACTTTTCCTACACAGGTTTAACTGGTTTTACAATGATTCCTTCCCTCAAATAATAGGTCTTTCCACATTCATTTTGTCTTTTTGTATACGTTCAATCACAAGATTCCGAAATTCGAGCGATTTTGTATTATCTATATCATCAAGTGTAAACACTATCGTGCATAATATGTGGGTCAAATCACACTCCATCCTTACACAAGTCTCCGATGCTCCGAACACTTGAAAATCTTACATTTTCCTTTAGAGCAGTCATATTACCTATATTTTGATATAATGATCCCTGATAGTCTCTCAATCTCAAAGCTTAAATCCATACGGAATCAATCTCAGTTCAATCTCACTTCAATCAAGTTCAATCTCACTTCACAGATACAAAGTAAACCACTATGTGTCCACTACATTGCTTATAAATGCATGTTCTGTATACATCTCATACGATCATGCATAATATCAAACACAATAATGAACATCGCTCACTTATTTGTCTGTTGTCTTATGTATAAACAAAACGGTGATTTAAAAATTTTTGGCTGCTGTTCAAGTGGCAATACTTGAAAGATTATATTAAGCAATTCATATACCTTTTTGAGGCCATACAACGAGAATAATCTTTCTTAGTTTACGACAAACTTTTTTTCAAGAAAAAAAAATTTGAAATAAACAAAAAATAAAAAACTTTGCTAGATTTTTTTGCTAGTAAAAGACAGACATGTCTATCAAAGTGAGCCAGGACTATCGTTTCAAGTTAGTAGATATAGATTATTCAGGTTTTTGGAGTCCTGAGCCTAAATGGGTTTTTTTTTTGTCTATAACGTAAACTGATTTGTCTATTCTTGGTGGAAAAAGTTTTCTACTAACGCATAAATGTAGGAAATCATGTTGATAAAAAAATATGGTTATGAACGATCACGAAATTCTAAAAGAAGAAAAGATTTTTTTGATTATCAATCTGTCATAGAGCATGATTCACCTGATATAGGTAAGAGTTAGGATGACTTTAGAAAGCCCACTTCAAAATATATCAAATCCTGATACATCAAGGACATCGCAACACTGCCGTCATAATGGTCTATTAATGAGCATAGGGGGATTTATGAAAAGTTGTTAGCCATTCAAGACGCTAGAAAAAAGCATTTTATACGTAGCTGTGAATTTTAAACTGCCGTGAAGAAAGGAAAGGTTCCACTTATGCTTCCCCCGTGCTGTGTATAAAGTGAACACAACAAAATTGTTGAAAGATTTGATCGTTCATTAAAATCTGCGAAGGCTGTGACAAAATGCTATGAAATGCATGGTCATCAAAACGTCACTAAACATCTGCTTAACTTTGGCTCTGATTTTTTCAGCAGTGGATCAAACTTTTCAAGCCACCTTATTGACAACCTTTAGAAGCAGCTTCACTAACAAAAAAACGAGATAAACTACGCATATATTTTCAGAAATATATACATAAAAATTCGACTAAACTCTTGAAAAAATTTACGTATTGTCTAAACTAATGCACTTCGTCTTATTCATTATTGTTATATGGTTTTAGTATGAGAATATAATCAAGCAACAAATTAATCTTATATGTTTGTACATATATAGATTGTTCAGGAAAGTAGAGACCCGAGAAGGACTGTTGGTGTTGATGATGACTGAAGTTTCGACAACATCCGTCATTTACTCCTCACATAACTACCGCTATGGTCGTCAAAACGTCAGTTAAATCTACACCAACAGTCCTCAGGATTCTTAGCCTGGATGATCTACATCTACAAACAATTTACGATACTCCCAGATTCAAACCATTTAGTTAAATGAACTTTATGATAGGGAAAGATGAATCAATGCCTCGGATCACCTTGTAAAAAGGGATTTGCTCATCTAAAATTATCTACAACTGGCTCATTTAGGTAAACAAGTCATATATAAATATAGACATAAAAAATGTGCATGTGAATAGATATGATCATATATATTATCTTCGTGATTGCAGTTTCAGCTCTGTGTCTCCAAGATCGGGCATTTCTGATAGTTCAACCGCATTTGTTGGTTGTGATTCTGGAAAGGTAACTCAAAGTTTTTTTAAAGCAAACTCTTTACGACAGCAGATTTTTATTTCTATTACTTTGCCCATTTGAAGGGTCTCAGAGAAACAATTTCATGGGGGTAATTTTATTTGAGAGCTTGTGAAAAGTTATTGTTGCAATCCTGTGGAGTGAAGGCTGGGCACGGCACAGATGCCCCCTCCCCTCCCCCCCCCCAAAAAAAGAAGAAATGCTTGTAAATATGACACATCTCTTTCTTTTTATGATTCCTTTGTCACAGACTCACACAATTCAATTTTTAGTCGCCCCAATAGTAATATCCTTTCAAAGACCCTTGGTGGCTGGGTTGGTATGTACATGACAATTAAAAACTTTTGTGTTTCAAACAGTGTTGTGTTTGTTATGGTCCCGACAGCAACCGAGACTACTGTGGTCCAAAGTGCAAAGCAATAAACGGTGGTACAGTAATAAGTAATAAAAACAAAATTCACACTTGGTTTTGGGTGCGTTCAGGTTTACCAAAACGTCTTTGGAAGAAATGTATGGAATATAGAAAGATGGATAAGAACGGGAAAATTTTTTTATGGCACGTCAATAAAGAAACGGAAGTTCCTCAAAAGGTAGGATGGATTATTCATTTGAGAAAAAATCGAGCAAAAAATATGAACAAAACGCAAGAGAAAATCAAAACTATAACGAGGTATCATTAACAAAGCAGCATATAATTCATTTGCCTTTAAAACTTGCAAGACAAGGTTGAAGCACATAAATGTCAAATATGGACAACCTTTTTAAAAATTCAAATGATTTTATTTTTCAGAAAAGTAAATGTGCTCGATTTACATTCTTTATTCGATACTTATAGGGACCATGTGCGTATCCTGGAGAAGTGAGACTAATTAATGGTGTAAGTACGTGAGCAATACCATGCACCAAAGATGGATCCGGTTGCTTTATGGTTGCTTCTCGAAACATATTCATATATACACATTTGCCAAATGAGCTATTTGCAGTGCGACAAAACAGTTAGGATTGAATGTAAACTATACTGATTCATGTTAGTCAGTGTTATAAAACCTTAAGCAATTTTCATCTTCTGGCTTGAATCGTAGAAGCCAAGACTTTTTTCTTAGCTACTGACATTGACAATGTAGATTGCTGTTGTACAAGACAAAACAAAATTGCAAGCTCTACCAAATATCGAGGGACTCCTTTCATATCGCATGGATAACAGAGATATTTATTTCAGAGGAAAATACAAGTGGAATGAGATCGCCAAAGAAAAACAGGTGCATCTTCAAAAATTCATACATTCATCGATAAAGGATTAATGGAATTATATTGGTGCTGAAAGAATGTGCATATAATTATGATCATTGATGAAAAGCATAACATGATGAGCTGTGTTAACTTGTTTAATCTATAGATTAATGCATTGAAGAAAGACTTAATACAAATCAGCAAAACGTTGAAAATAGTAGAACAAGGTACCGTGTTTAATACATTGGTTATATAACACACCATGTTCATTATGGTTGCAAATCAGGATGGCAATAATGCAATATTTTCCCCTATAAAGTATCAAAGTATCAGCTAATTCCATGATTTCTGCTATGTTGGAAACCTTATTTTTATTGACATAGAGTATTTTTTATTTCAGAGAACGAACACTATGCATCATGTAAGGACGTTAAAAAAAAAACAGGGTACGTTTATATTCTTAATTTCTATACTTGGTCATGACCATTAAATTATATTTTCATGCAGCAAGAAATGCAATTTTTTGCTGAAAATTTCTTGATGTAAAGAGTATGCTTGTTGCCTGTGCATCTCAATATACTGACGATACTTTTTGGTCGAAAGAGGTGATTCTAAAATGCTACACATTGTGTTTGTAGAATGAACAATTATATTCCAATTCTCGTATTTAGATCAACAAAACCTGGTAGTTACAAAATCAAATATCCTGCGAATGGTTTCACTAATGTGTATTGTCACTTGACATCGCTGCCCGGATGTTCTGGAGGTGGATGGACATTAACTATGAAAATCAGTGGTCATAAGGTGATGTTTTATACATAGATATAATAGAACCTAGATTGCTGATGCACATCGCGCGGCCGTAGCGAATTGAACATTCCAAAGATGTGGGAAATGGCATTGCAGAGTTTCTACTTGTAAGCTTGGATGCATTAAAGGAATAACGCGACAAATATCACTTACACAAATTTTTATGAAGTGGTCCCTTTAATAAAATCGAGCATTACAACATAAGGAGTACCGAGTTTGGTTTAATGTGAAATTCTCAAAGGTGATTTATGATGAAGGACTAAACCATAAGAGCAAATATACAATGTTTCATAGATCCAGTGTATGTCGTATTACATTACATTTGAACGACTGAAGAAAAATCGACCAAAGTCTTATGTTTGAAATAAAATATAAATATTTTACACGAATTGAAGTATTTTACAGTTATGTAGTTTACTATTTCATATTATGGCAACATTATGGTCCTGTGAACACAAAAGTATTACACACGCCCACAGTCCACATAATGAGTGTGGTTTGTCATTATGAATAATGAAACAGTAAAAAATCCATTTGCCTCAGTATGTCATGGCTGCAGAATTTCTTGCAACACTTTATATTTATGCTTCTAAACCATATCTTGATTGACATATGAACTGAACAACTTGTGTCATAAGTGTCCCCAATACACGCACAACATTAGTAATAGCACTTTGTCTTGTAAGTTTTTACGTTCACCGTATCATTTAAAAGGCATTTTAGCCGACTTCAGATAATTTATTCTTATTCATTATTTTTCATCATTTTCTATGAGATTAGTATATTGTGTCAAACATCAAGAGTCTAGTCTCAGACAAACATATAATACTATCAAAGAGCCAATGTAGATGTTGCAGTTGACCAAACTTACTTAACTTTGGCAAACAAATAATAAGTCAGCCTGCTTCACCATGCACATGCACTGTGTAGTTTCAAAAAATGTAGATTTGACCTGTCCATCTCTGTGGGTAGTGAAAAGCAACAGGCAGACTCCTCAGCCTCAAGTGTTTTGACTAATAAGGTCTTCGGCTGTTTCTGCTCTTTTTGGTGTATATTACAAATTAAATTAAAAAACCCAACAAGGAAACATCACTATTTTTGAGCTTTTTATTATTTCCTTTTCATAAAAATATCTGGAATAAGTCAAGACTCAACAAAACTGCTATAGTTGGACTCAGGGAACAACTCGATAAAAATTTAACGAAGCAATATTTGTCGTGTTATTTCCTTTGATGCATCCAAGTTTACGTTTAACAACTCTGAAATGTCCTTCTATTTCCAAAAAAGTGGCTAGAACTTTGATAGAAGGTCCAGGAAGGGGTACAACGACGGAAACGCGCTAAACCTAATTTTCGTAATACAAATTAGAGTTTTTTTGCCCGCTTGAGCCGCCATTTAGGAATGTTCAATTTGCTACGGCCGGCTACGTATAATTTGTATATACGTCAGCAATCTATGTTTTTTATATCTATGGTTTTATCCCAAAATAATTGATCTTTAAAGATTCGTGGTAATCATGCAATACTCTGATATTTTGCTTCTTTGATTAAAAAAATATATAATTGTTGTAAATATGTAAGTAGTTATAAGTAAGTAGCTAGTTAAGTAAGTAATTAAAGTATAAAATCTGTATATTAAATCATTGTCATGCTACTGAAAACACGTGATGTTTTTCAGGACACTTTCCATTATTCATCCAATTATTGGAGCAACAAAGACGTTCATAATGTTGGAGGAGGAACAACTGGATTCGATGAGCAAGAAACGAAACTTTCTACTTACTGGACCACCTCATTTAATGAAATTTGTTTAGGAATGAAACAAGGAAATGACTTAAGATTTATATCTATTTCATATAAAGCTTCATCCTTATATGGTATTATAGCAGATGGAAAATATCGTAAGACAAGCATTGGAAGATCAAAATGGCTTTCCTTAGCAGCGAATGCTGACATTCAACGAAATTGCAATTTGGAGGGATTTAATGTTGATCCGGTAAAACGTGGAAGATTCACAAAAGTTCGAATAGGAATACTTGGAAACCAAGAAAATGATTGTAGATCCCCAGATTCGTTTTTTGGGTTTGGTGGTGTTTCCTCGTTTAACCGTGTCCATTGCTCAATGCCAAAAATACCAAATACTAGTGGAAACAGCGCGTACTGTCGTCTATCGGGTGGAAATATAGAAATACGTACAATGGGTTATGTTTTAGTTCGCTGAAGTAATAACTTTACTTTTAAACTTATTTGATACTTGTGTATTTTTTTTGTTACATTTTAGATATAGCTTTCAGGTACGGATTTAAGAATTCTAGTACAAACACCAAAAATATATGACGTCGTACAAAATTGTTTTTGAATATTATCATTCAAACAGTCAAATTCTTTAGTAAAGCGAATTGATTTGTTAGAATTTCAATAATAAAACTTGATTATGACGATGATGAATGAATTGTTTGATGGCTTGTTAAAGAAGTAAATTAATTTAATTTCTTTCACAGTTTGTAGCTAACTTATTAAGTAATCATATTTAATTACAGTCAAATTAATTTAATTGAAATCATACGATTTGCGAGCTTTATGAATCTGACTGACGAAACAGAATTGATAGTTTATTTGAAAGTAGTCCATCTCCTTCCATCTACGTTTTCATTGTGCATCTAGCTCTATTTCAGATCTAGGTACCTCTACAAAGTTGGCAGTTTGAATTTCAGGCATCAGTCCATTGTCATCAACACCATATTTACAATCGACTAAGTTTTCATGTAGCATTTTTTGGACTGTGCCGTAATCTGAAAGCGCATCTTGGTAAAATCCTCTGGTCCAAAGTTGTAAAGGTGATTGTCCATGCTCACTGGACAATGGGTGGTTATTCCATTGCATTGTGAAAATGTTTAATGACTTGTTTATACGAGGCAAAAATATATAGTGCAAAGCAAACAAGGGAAATTCACTGTATGGATTTAACAATTCATTAGATTCCATCTAGTAGAAGATGTTCTTATATATTGAAACAACATAGATGTTAACATCATGCCAAAGACGCTCAATGCGCTGATTATGAACGGATTGTCCTGTAAGAACAGGTTTGCTAGACAGACCATAACGATTAAGCATAAGCCTGGCCACAGCACTATTTTGTGTTCCATAATCTGTTCTAATTCTACGTGGATAGGGAAACTTAGTCGTGGCATCATGGAATAGATCAAGAACAGTGGAAGCTTTATTGTTACACGAAGTTTTAAAAAAGACAGCTGCACGAGAGTATCCATCTAAACAACCATGGATAACAATTCGCCATCTTATTAGTTTATGCTGGCCATCCAGATGCCTAGAAAAAAAATTATGTATAAGCTTCATGAAAGTCTTGCTCCAGCAAAAATTTCACTCACCGTAAAGAATTTGGCGTTGGTACATGGTATAGTCTTCTTTTTGTTATTTTTCTGCCCCTCAACATCTGGTTATCAGAATTAATCCTCCAAATCGACTGACGCACTCTCCACCTCTGTACAAAAAATCTCTGTGCTCTGATGTAACCCAAAACCATATTTTCACCTGAATTAGGTGAAGCAGATAAAGCGGCCTTCACAATATCATCTAACTGATCATCTGACACTTTCATATATTTATTACTGGTGGATTGAATACCGTAGGCATCCCTCCGACGCATTATTGTCTTTTCTGACACACCTAGTATAGTTGCTACGGATTTCCATGAAAAACCAAGAGATCTCAATCCTTCTAATCCTTTTGGTATCAATGCTGGGGACGGCCTCGACCTTCTCTGCAAACGTTGTTAGAGCAATTAGATTGTAAGTCATCATATACAGATGTTTCAAAACGATCCATTAACCGACGCACAAGGCATTGAAACATGTTGATTAGAGTAGCAATGGTTTCAATCATATTTGCATCTTGTAGTGAAGTATTGCGAAGATAGCCAAATAAAATAACTATAACTGCGTAAAAGCACTATTGATATTGCGCTTAAAAATGACGAGGTTTTTTTCTTTTTTTTTAAATAAACATGTTTCAACAATATGAAATAACTATAGTCGTGAAAAATTGTTCTGTCTGCATATTAAGGTGTTCAGCCTCCCCAAAGGAGGCCGAAAACATATTTCGCTTTATTTCTTGATACAACTCTTTCCCATGTTCTAGATTATTTATAAAATCACTTACTCCAACGTTCTCACGATCGAGGATTTTAACATCTTCCGCCGTCTTACAACTTACATCGAAATTCGACAACATGAAGTTTTGCGAGAAATTACATGTGGCGTACTGCAGGCAGCAATAAAGTATTAAACTTTTCAGAAGTACTATAATTTTATATTAAACACAGTAATAAATTTGAAATAAAAGTTTCATCTTTAGAAAAAGTAGTTTTGTCCGTATCGGCGCCCCATATATAGCAAACACCCGCTTTCCATGTCATTTTCTTGCACAATTTGATGAACGGATGTAAACAAAATATCATCCGTCACCGCATCGTGTGTGGGAGAAGTCTGATGGTGTGAACTTTCAAGTGTCGGAAACCAATGATAGACATGGGGAATGGTATCGGCACCTCCGTCTATTATTATTCGTTTGTCTAAGACAACTTGATATTTTTTAATTTGATTTCTATTTACAAGTTTGCGCGACCATTTTTTCTGACTATTTTACATTCGTTTATATCTACAGTTGATGGTTTTTTTACATAGTTATAAATCATTTCTTTTATCAAATCAAAGTTTAAAAGCAAGCTATTTTTAAAATTCTAAGGAACGAAAGCAAAATCCTTGCAGCGGTGGTCGAACCAGAGTTGTTGGCGAGCTAGAGTGTTTATTCTTCGTCATGAAAAGGGTTGTCCTTTTTTTCTGTTTCTTAACGACGACCATTTTAGATTCTTTTTCCTTAGGCTCTTTCCTCTTATGGTCTTTCAGTCCAACCTTTCTTTTTATCTGAATGATCTTTCTATTAAAATAAATGGTTTGAACCTGGGAGTATCGATACATGTTTGTAAATGTAGATCGTCCAGGTTGGTATAGTCGTTACATGGTTGCTATAGTTTTTGTTGTTGTTGACTGACGTTTCGACAACCTTAGCGGTAGTCATTTTCAGAGTCCAATCTTTCTATTCATTGTTACGTCCCCCCAATGAAAAAAGCTACATTTTTCTTCGTCGGCGATAGATTGTTATCGGAATTATGGCCTTTCAGGATTATTGCTCGATTTGGAAACCATGAGACTACCTGGATAACGGCATTCGCACAGGGGGAACTTGTTAGGTTTGAATTCTTTCACGACTTTCGTTTCGTAGGCATCCATTATAATATGGTACCTTTCTTCGTGACAGAACAATGTGCATCATTCACCTCTGCATTTAACATATCCTCGTTCGTCCTTCTTAGATACGATTCTCTCGAGGCCTGCACCACAGAAAAATTATTTTTCTCAATGAAAACCATGATGTTCAGATTATGTACTTCTTTAACACAGATTTAACTCGTTTATGAAGCATTGCTCAAGCTGAAGTGCAACAAGAACATTTCGCCCCTTTTTTTCAAGTGTTGGCCTTCACATGAATAATCATTTACAAACGCATGATTTTCTTTAAAGAAGAAAAGGTCTCATTCATACTGCGAGTAAAGAATTGAATAGAATCACATTCAAGTGTAAACCTCATGTTTGTTCAAATCAGTAATCCCTTTTCGGTACATTGTATGATATCTTTCCAGAGGGGTCTCATCATTCAACTGCATCGCTTTCCTCTGTATGATACCAGCCACACCACAAGATCTTATCTTCACAACATGATTTTTCTTTTTAATTTCCCTTCAATATTGACTCATGGTCAAACCGATACTTTATTCACATTGTCAGGCATCTTTCATGGGGTCCTTATCATTTACTGTATCATGTCGGTCGGCAAGTTAAAGCCTCTCTTCATTTCCCTTTAATATTGACTTATGTTCATCCCGCTCCTTTATTTGCATTGTTAGATATCTTTCCTGAGCGTTCTTATCATTTACTGCAACATTTCCCTCAGTAGGATACTGCACAGATCTTACCCACGCCACATTATTCAAGGTCATACTATTCAATGGTAATTTTTAATTTACATTTGCGAGATGGCAACAAAGGTCACATCTCTGGCGCATAATCAATGCATCTCAATCACTTACGAAACAGAGAACCTTTGCGGAGATGCATACATCATAAAAACTCGGCAAAAATCCAAACATGCAATCGAAGAAGGATGGCCTCGCCACAAGCGTCGTTTTATATCTTCAGTAAGTACCGTTTGTCTTTTTTTTCTGTTTCTTAGGGTGTTTGTACTAACTTTAACAGAAAAATGTAATGACCTTGCCTATGGATTTTAGAAAACACTGCCCTAAATTTGTGGCCATCATTGACAGCTTTGAAATTTTTTGGATTGTGCATTAAATCCTCTCGCGAGGGTACAAACTTACTCATCGTACAAGCACCACAACAGGATTAAATACTTAACTGCGGTACTTCTCCAAGGTACAGTAAGCTTTAATTCTAGTGGCTGGGGAGGAAAAGTCATTGAAAACATTTGACTGAGAATAGTGGTCTTCTTGAAAAGCTCTTACCCGGAGATGTAATCTTAGCTGATAGGGGCTTTGCCATCCAGAAGTCGGTTTGGTTGTACTGTGCAACTATCAAGATGCCAGCTTTTACTAAGGGTAAAATACAGCTCAGTAGCATTGAAGTTGAACAAACATGAATTGCCAATGTGAAGATTCATGTGAAATGGGAAAATTATAAAGAAATATGCTCTTCTAAATTTAACTCAGCCAATGATTTAAGTTCAGATTTTAGGTAATTAAATTATTATAGGTATAAAGGTTAGCAATGTAGATTAGGCTAAAGATAATGAAATAAGATTGAAATAAGGATAACAAATTAAGATTTAGGCGAGATTTGAGAATTAAGATTACGACAAGAAATTGATATTAGGTTGAAAACTAGAGAAGGTTAAGATGAGGATTTATTGAATAGGCACAGTGTTGATTGAGGAACGAAAAGGGAGCCGTCAATTTAGTACGTACTCAAAAATTTTCTACACAAATATGCAATTTTTGGTAGACACTTTCCTTCTCTTCATTCGCAAATATATATTAAACGAGGGTTAAAGTCAGCTTTTATAGATAAAACTAATTCTTAAATTAATGCTAAGCTTACTGATTCCTGTTATCATAGCCAGTTTAGGTAAGCTATTCATATGCATATAATTTATGGAGAAACATACCTACTCGGAACCGAAATTAGATTGGAAATTATAAAATAAAAACAAAGAAACGCGTGCGCTGATTGGTCTAGAGCTGTGTTTGCATTAGCCTGTGCAAAACATATCCGAGCTTAACTAATCAAATCAATCATAACAATCAATCAGTCAAAGAGAATTTGCAAATGCATCATGAACGCATTTTAGAGGAAAATTAAAACGTTGAATTTGTCTGTTTCGCATTATTATTATTTTATAAAAGAAATAAAAGATGTTTTTCGTGTTTGCACAGGCTTATGCAAACCTCAGAGACGTTTGTGTGACGTTTGAGCAGGTCCTCGGTTTGCAAAAGCCTGTGCAAACACAGTAAACATCTTTCATTTCTTAAATGTCATTCGTACGTAACAAATTAGCAGCCCCAATTCATACTTTGGAGTACTTGCGTTGTTTACGTTTTGCTGGCAGGCAGATTTGTTTAAGTGCGCTTAAACACTACAAGCAACAATGGTTAACCTCTCATAGGATCAATCTGCCAGCAAATCGTTAACAGGGGAAGTCATCAATACACAAAGGTACGCCTTGACAATACACATTTTCACTTTTCTATTACTGCATACCAAATTGACGATTCTAGGTCACTGACGAGTTTCAAACTAATAAGAGTAAAATGTATAAATGTGTTTATTTCATGGCCTTTAAGGCCTTTTTCAAACGTCGAAATTTACATGCACCGAACGCATTAAAGACAAAAGGAAATGAAATAAAATTCTTCATTATCTTTTGTTTTATATGTGTTCGGCTCATGTAAAGTTCGGCGTTTGAAAACAGGCCTAAGATTTAATGTTATTCATATTTGATTTTAGAAAGCAGTTACATTTTTACCACGCACCTTCTAGATCAACAAATTTTTGAGACAAAAGCTCAACTTTACCTCCCATGAAATAATAAATACCCAGGTATGGCAAGCCGTTTGTAGCAATATTCAACCAAAAGAATTTCAACATTCAACAAACGCATTCAACTAAAATATTCAACTTTCAACAACAATATTAAACCTTCAACGAAAACATTCAATCTTCAACGAAAATCATTCAATCAATTAAGTAACGTTTCCGGCGGAAATCAGAAACTAGCATTGAGTTCTACACATGTCAATGAAGCGAACCAACGAGTACGAACGTTTTCACAAAATGGCCGGCGAGAAAGCCCATCTTCGTAAACTGTCAGACTGTTTAAATTAGGCTAGTGACTTAATGAAATTTTGCAACAGCTACAAACTTTGACCTCTTCCGACCGTTCGTTGCAGTCAACCGAGCATTGTCCAAGACCCGATACAGCAAGAAATCGATCATGCGAATCTTCATCTAGCCAGCATGTCAGTGTCGTGAGTTCCGCAGTTAACCGGGAAAGATTGATGATCCAGAAATCTTCCTCGAACGGCTTATACTCACGAGTAGGAAAAAAGAAAGGCTGAGAACAACAAAACCAGAATCGGAAACAAAAACAAAAAACCTCGTGTTATAAACAATCAAACTTCAAAGATTTTCGAGTTTGTCCATCTCCAATTAAGAGAATGCAAGGACACAGTTGAGACAATTGTGTACGAAGAAAAGATGGTGGCACTTCAAGGCTTCGTTGAGGTCATAAAAGCAGCTAGTGAGGTTGATCATTGTAAACTTGGGGAGGCAATTAAAATAAAATTTTCTCTCGTAACGGACATGGACTTTGAGTTTGTGCGCGCCAATCGCCGAAGAATAACAAAACCAGTTTGTGTCAGCGAATACAACTATCAGCAGATCAAGATGTATAAACTGCTATAACCAGAGAATGATTTGAACAAACTGAAAAAAATTTCAAGCGATACGTTCGAAATCACACATATTTTTGTATACGCAAATAAAAGTTTTTGCCTAGGGAGGGGCTCTTTATTTGATACTAACAAATTCATGCAAAAGATAACAGCATATAATTGTGACAAGATAATCAAAGTCTGTGTATTTATGTTTTGAAACTCATTGCTTATAACGATTTCTTTAAACAAAATTATAGATACTTTGACATGTTTTAAAACCAGACCAAAAACAGCACGTTTTAAGAGAGTGTGTTGTTTTATTCACATCATGAAATATCTAAAAATATAACAAACAACTATGATAGATGATAACATCAGCTGCAGGAGGAATTATTCTCGATTTCCTCAGAGAACTTTTATCGTGCATTGCTGGGGTTGCAACCATGCACATATATTCATTTGTCTTACATAGATACACGATCATGGCCAATTTTGCTTTTTAACAATAAAAAAAATGGTTAAAGTTTTATATGGATTTTGATGCTTGCGTTTTTAACTACTTTAAAACAGGCTGATATGTTGTTGTGTTTAAAAAAGGTAACTAATTCCGACTTTAATTCGCTGAATTATAAAATAGTAGAGATGATTTCTAATGAATAAGGAACGTCTATCATAACAATGATTTTGTTTTGTCTTCATATATTTGTTATATTTAATAAAAGACTTTTTATACGTTTTACCCAATCAATATTAGGAGAAATGAAGTCTAATGATGTCACATGACGTGAAAAAGAGAGAAATCATTCATATATACTTTCTATTCGACGTAGCAAAATCATTAATGTTCCTGGTGGAGTTGCTTTTAGAGTTCCTGGTCAGCTTGTTTTGAGTAATTTTTGGTCATCGACACTAAGTTTTTCAAAGACTACAACTAAGTTGAAGTAATTTCTTGCTTAACAAGAATTTCAATTAGGTCTGCTGTTTATATCTTTTATTTCCATCCATTAGCTAAGGTATGAATTCCCTGACTAAAACATGGCACATTCTCTTTTACATGTCAACTGAACATCAACTTCACTCTCAGTTATCGATGATTTCTTTTTATTTCACTGTAGACAAAATGGCGATGCTTAACAAGCTTTTCGCAGTTACTTTACTTATGACCATCTCCGTTTGCTCAGGTTGGTGTTCAGTAATTTTTCTTCAAATCGACCATTTATATTTTTTTCTTTTCCGTTTGACAAATGTGTTAAAGGAAATTGAAAAGTTGTTGGTATACATCCTCTTAGCGGTGGTGACCTTTGTCCTCTCTTTGATGTTTTTGACTGTTTGTACAGCTAAAAGAAACATTTTTGCACTGATCTTTTGAATTTGTCGAATGAATAAAGAATGTCTTTCATAGCGATAATTATGTTATGCCTTCATAATTGATATTTTTAGCGCTCTAACCTTTTCTTAAAGTTAATGAAAAATATTTACTTTCCAACCAATCAACATGGCAGAAAATGAATTTTGATTATGTCACAAGAGCGTCAAAGTGACGTGAAAGCAACATAAATATTTTATATTCAACGTGGCAAAATCATAGTCCTGGCAGACTTCCTTGTCGGCTTGTTTGTAGTATTTATAAAAAGTTGCTCGTGCTTTTACTAATGGTGGTGAAGACTTTTATTTCGTCCACCCATAGGAGCTTTTGACTGTTTATAATGCCAGCAGACACATCTTTGTGTTGATCACTTTCGAATTTATTACAATTTGATTTCGCAAAACGAGTTTTGATTTACTTTTACTAAGTCAATAGAAACTGGGTAACAAAAAGTTTTGTTCGTTTCTTAATTAAACAGTTCTTATAAAAACTTTACCATTCACGTATTACGAGCTGCTTGTATAAATAGATCGTCCATTTTAGTAGAGTTCTGATAAAAACTGTTGGTATTGATGTTGACTGACATTTGGACACTAATAGAGGTAGTCAACTTTAAAGTGAGTGTTGTGGTGACGTCATGCAAGTTCGTCAATAGAAAATATCAGAATGTGGCTTTACCCAGGCTTCATGCGACCGCATAAACAAATTAAGGTCCATTGAATGACAACTTTAAACTGCCATAACAATAAAATAATTTCTCCAAAAAAAGGAAAATCATCAAAAAGCTAGATATCACATATAGTTTCAACAACGGGAATAAAATTTTTGACGGTAGAGGTCTTTGATAGTATCATATTGATGCAAATGACTACATCATAATTTCGACGAGATAATTACAGCCTGTGTATTTATGTTTCTCAAAGTCTTCTTTGTCTCCCTCGGTATTTACAAAGAACTCTTTAAACACAATTAGATGCTTTCACATGTTTGTAAAAAAAACAACAAATCACTCATTTTCAGAGAGTGCGTTGTTTTACACACAGTAAAACATTTACAATATGATGAAAAACTTCAGTATAGAAAGATAATAGCGGGAATAGGAGGGAAGATTCTGGTAAATCTCAGAGATTTGATCGTACATTAAATGAACTTTTTCGTAATCATGAAAAGTAGAGATGACTTTCGATGAATAAAGAATATCTTTCATAGCGATAATTATGTTGTGTTTATATATTTCACATTTTTAGCCTGCAAACTTTTTCTTAAATTAATAAAAGTCTTTTCTAACCAAGCAGCATGGTGAGAAATAAATTTTGATGATGTCACCGGAACATCAAAGTGATACAAAGCATTCACAAATGCTTTCTATTCAACGTGGCAAAATGCTTTCTATTCAACGTGGCCAGCTTGTTCGAAGTATTTATAAAAGGAATTTATAGCAATGGCGGTGATGAGTTTAACTTCTCCAGTCTTTTGTGCTCTTGACTGTTTGTACAAAAACAGCTGACAGAAACATCTTTGCGCTAATCACTTTCGAATTTGTTTCAACTTGTTTTCGTAAAGCTAGTCAGTTTTAATTTAGCTTGTACTTCCTTACGTCAACATAAACTGTGCAGAAGTCTTCTCTAACGCGAAATGCATTGAGCTTTGTAACAAAAAGTTCCGTTCGGTTTTTAAATAGTTCCTAAAAGAACTCTACCATGTTATCCACAACGCTTGTTAGACACATATTTAATAAGTTTTTTTGTTACCTCTATTGATCTTTATGTCGACAATTATTTGTTATTCACTTAATTTATTATTAATATGACATAGCTTTAAAAACCAACAGCCCAGATATCGAAAAACCCGTATTTCAATGTTTTTACAGGCAGCCCAGACCAATGTTATGCGTGTCTTTACAATTCCAAAGCTCCAAAAGAACAACAAAAATGCGTTGGTGTAAAAATTCCATGCACCACCGGATATTGTTTCTCGGCAAAATACACCCAACTTAACAACACAGATGTAGTTGTAAAGGGATGTGACACAACAGCATTTGGATTTTGTCCGAATACAACAGAGGCTTGTCGAATATTACAGGGAGTAGGGGAATCGTGTTCCATTTCATGTTGTGACACTGATCTCTGTAACGGAGGAGCGACACAAACACCAATGAAGATCATTTTGGGTTTTGTCTTCTTAATTGTCATCGTTTTCTTGTATTGAACACCCAGTTTTGGATATACTGAATGTATTCTCATTAATTACATTTACCTACTTTTTTTTTGAAATATTTGATTGTAGACTAGAACCCCGATAACTCGAACAGAAAATTGTTTGGGTTAGTTAAAGTGGTGTTGAAAGGTCAATACTTAGATATATAGCAGTTTTTCTTTTCATTCATAATTCCAATTTTCTTTTACAAAGAGTTCATTTGTAATCAAATACTTTAAAAGTTCGTGCTTGTTATGTATAATTAAGAACTGCATAAACTTGATGAAAGTTGTAATTCAAATTATTCATTATGAATCTTTAAAGGCATATTGTGTTAATAAATGGGTAAATTTCTTGTTGTTTAAATCAAACCTACACGCTCGTCTTACAAAGTTTAAGTGAGAGTGATACAAAGAAATTTGACCAGGAAAAAGGAAATTAGTTCGAATTATTGTTGTAGGTAGCCGTTCATGCATTATATACAAGAGATAGTTTGGGTAAACCCTTTGGTTATATACAAAAGTGGACAAATTTTATTATGGACTATGTTGTTTGTGTTTTGAACTACAAAACAGAGTGATATTGTTGCGTTTAAAATAGTTATTTGATTTCAACTTTATTCCGTGGAATAATAAATAGTAGAGATGATTTCCGATGAGTAAAGGAACGCCTTTCCTAGCTATGATTATGTTGTGTATTTATATTTCGCATTTTTTGCGCGTAAACCTTTTCTTATTTAATGAAAGTATTATACTTTCTAACAAATCAATATGATGATAGTTAACTTCTAATCATTTCTATCATCTATTCTCATTTTTATTATCTATTTTGTAACACTAAGAGAAAAGTGTGGTAAGAATAGACCTATCTTTATTAACATTGGCTATTCCGTATTCTTACTGGACTAGTAAGCCGACGGTCATTTCGAATATTGTTCTGGTCCTTTACTGTGCAACTCATTGAGTTCTATAATAACTGGAGCGGCTATCTCAAGCGCGGCCTTAGATATTGCATGTTGTAAAAAACATGGCGGATTTCGTCCGTTGCCGCTGAGATTTACCGAAATTGACCGCTTTTCCGAAAATTTCACAATTTCCCACTCCCTCCTGAGGCAAGAGTGAGGAAAATGTATGTGTGTATTTGGGATTCGGCTAGCAATTTTTTGATGAAAATCACGATAAAAACCTACAATTCGTAACAGCGAGTCAACTGTGCTTGCTTTCCAGTCATCGGCTCCTGCGAGGAAAGCTATTAACTATAAACTATGTACGAAACAACTCTTTGAACGTTTTTAAACATCGTGTCTAATGTACATGTGCACGATGTGGACGATGTGGTCTCTTTTCAAGGTAAGGAGAAAGTCTTAAAGCCATGTCCAGCCGACAATTTAAAAAAGATAGTAAAAAACAAATTCTGAAGAAACAAGATATCTTGAGATGAAAAAATGTTAATGAAAACAAAACGCGAAGTGAACTGTAAATTTTCGATTTATTTCAAAGTCATCCACAGACAGAATGATAATCCAAACCATGCATACACATATATTAAGAAATGGTTTCTTAACACGGGACTTAAGGCTAGCAAAGAATTACAACTCTTCTCTTAAATTACAATACACTCATTCCACCAGTCTGGTCTCTTGTTTCAATTCATCCTTTTAAAATATGACAGCTCTTCCAACTCCGCTTTCGTAAATATCAAACTATTTAATTTCTTTTGCTTGACTTTCGTTACTTAATTCATTCATTGTAAATGAATTTAAGAACTTCGCGTAGTTACATGATTGGTCATTGTATAATTCATCAATTTTCAACAGATTTGTATCAACGCATACAGCCTCCTACTAGCTCAAGAAACAAACCAAAATATGAAAGAGAAGCGATCACGTTTGAGTGAAAACTTGATGGTAAAAAGTTGAAAAGTTGCTGATGGTTATCGCCATAAATTACGAATGGAAGAATTTACCACCACGATAAAATCAATATTACCACCACTGATAAAGTACCAGTGACCACTGATAAAGTACCAGTGACTACTGCCGCCAGTCTGCCAGTGACCAGTAGCATGTACGCGTACCTATTTTTCTATAATTGCGACGCATCATGGGATTTACATTCAAATTTATTTTTGCGAGTAAATTCATTTTATCTTTACCATAAAAATGTTGTTTTATTTCAAAAATCTTCGATTGTCAGACTTCGTGAGCTGACTAAATCTCGCAAGCGTTCGATCATGACCATGACCGACTTTTCACCGAGTACTTTGTTTTCACGTGTTCTGACGTTGACCGTGTCTGAGACCGTCTCTTTTTCACCAACAACTGTTTAAAAAACAACATGAAATCATTTAACCATCTATTTTGCTTGTTAAAATAGACAACACTTAAAAAGACAATGAACACAAAACAAACAAACAAAAATACAAACAACAAACAATCCAACAACAGCAAATGATAATACCTTACATTTTACCACTCGCGCATCAACTGACTACCAAGAACAACAAGTACTGACAAGTGACTGAAGTGAGCATCACAATGCACAACATTACAAGCAGCACTGACTATAGACAACGACTTACGTTAGAAAGTAGGTTAACAAACTCAAAACAAAAATCATTGAACAGAATACAAATATCAGCACCTTATAAACGGCTTACAAGCGAACAATTAATAAGTATACCACACAAACTAAAACATCCACATATTTCCCTCCCTGTCATGACGTCTAGAAAACAAATACGGCGAACCTGACTAATGTTGTGGAAACGTCAGTAAACTCTGAACACCAACAGTGGTTCCAAACCGTTATAATTTCTATTTATTTGTACAGTAAATAAAAAATAGTTTAAAAAGACTTTAATTCATACCAGGAATGAAGTTGTACTGTGAAAGTTGTGTATTGCGAACTTTCTTATTTAGTGTTGATCCGTGATCCAAGTCTGTATCAACGCGATAACCAGCGGCATGGAGCTTCTTTTGAATCTAAACATGACCAAAATGTCAATAAAAAAAAAGGACAAAAAAAATCCAATTCATAAAATAGCAACAATTTGTCCATAGCTGAATTTGCATTAGCTTGTGCAAGTTTGATCTAAGGCTTACTAAATTAAATTTACCTGCTCGGAATAATCATTATATTTACTACTGACAGGAAATACTACAACTTGAAGGGGAGAAAGCCATAAAATCCTAGAAAATAACAGAAAATGCAGTGCGTCAAAATTTTAAAATAAAGTAACGTAAAAATGATAAAAAATTTCCAAACAATTATGAAACTTTGTACCATTTTAATTTAACATTTTAAGGACATTTCATTTGCTTTAAGCTCTGGCACGAGCCAACAAAACACTCACCATTTTCCACCAAAGCTTTCAGCAAGAATAGCAATCATTTTTTCAACTGAACCTAGAATAGCTTGATGAATAATAACAGGATGTAATTTTTCATCTCCTTCACCACTGTGAATAGAGTAATAGAATATTGATAAATTACTAAATTGTTACAATTTGTAAAGATCTACAATTTCATGGAAACTTAAACTGTACCATAATCCTCTGACTATAATACACAGGCTTACATATACATATACTTATATGCGGGTGGGTTTGTTTGTGGGCGAGTTTGAATGCAGGTGGGACTTTCAGTGTTCAGCAATGTAGCAGGCTGCATATAAGTATATAGTATATATAAGCATATAAATATATAACAATAGGTTTCTATAGAAACAAATAATCATGCCACTGTTGGTTAAATGAATTAAGTATCAAGACCGTAGTGAGGTTATTCAACAAAAAGCTTACTGGCAAAACTAACCTAGCGTAAGTGACGTTGAATCTCTCAGGAAATTGGAAATCCAGTTCAATTGTTGCACATTGATGAGACCGTCTCTTGGGATCAAAAATTTTTACATTAATCTATAAATTGTGATAGCAATGAAATTATAAATTCACAATGGTATACATCTATAAACATAGAAAGCTTCATCCCCCATCCCCAGGATTTATCTGTCGTTTTTGACCAAACATATTCAAAGCTTCCATCAGTTTCTAATAAAATATAAAACTAACTCATTTAGTTAAACAATTAAAAATATTATCAATCATTAAACATTTTCGATATTTCTGACAAGACAACTAAAAAACATTGTAAAGGCTGCATTTATGTTCGCTGTAAACAAATTGCCTCCCTTTTTTGGGAGGTAAACAAACCAATCTGTATGACAAATCAACAAATGAAAACATTCTATATTTTATTTCATTCTTGAATAACTGTCTATACCTTTGATATCCATAAAGAGGAATTGCACACAATGAAACAAATGTAGCTTGATTAAATAGTTCATTGGTTGCAACCATTGAGTTGTAATGTTTGAAATGTTCAAGGTTAGAAGCCATCTTGATTTCAGCAAGCGGAGACTGAAACAAGTTAATATTTTGGTTGAAATATTACCAAATACTAAATAAAATCAATAACAAGAAAACAATAACAATGATGAACCAAAATTGTTAAAGAACATATTTTAAGTAAAAATGACTCATGCAAGGTACTCAAATGTTCAACTCATGATGGTGAAAATATAAAAAAACATGGAGATAAAATAAATCATGACAATCAATAGATCTGCACTTAGGTAATAATAGCTGCAGATTCAAATTTATAAACAGTGTGTGAAGCAGTGACTAAAATATTTTGGCAATCAAATGCACTTGAAAGCCCAGGCAGGTTAGCTAAAGTCCCTCGGTGCTACAAGTCTTGTGACTTTTACTACAAAATATGCCTCAGCTTTCAAGTACATTTAATCACTAAGTTACCTCACTACCGTGCATCGTTTTACTTATAAAAATATTGCACACGCTAGCTAAAATGTAGATCCCATTAACTACATACATGTATGGTCTTATATGAGCCAGTTTTAAATACTCAAAGAATATTTAGGCAATCAGAGAGTAAAATATTTTTACCTTACTCTGAAGAAAGCAGTTTTACTTATGAGTCTTTTTATCACAGGGATACGTCGGTATAAAATTTTCACCACTAAAATGTTTCAAATTCCAAATTGGTGAAGTGTTGACTCTGTAGTAAGCTGGTCGATACAACTCATACGTAACGCATCAATTTGCTGTTTAAAATCATCATAGAACTCATGCAGATAGATTGGATTCACATAGCCAGAATAACAACCAATAACTTTTAGCTTCCAGAACAATTCGGTGAATTCACCACAAATGTGAGTCTGCTACGTGAAGATAGTTGCCTTGTATATGCCTCAAGTCTTTTTTACGCTTCAAATTGCATCCTTGAACGCCTTATTTTATACAGTTCAGCCAACATTTATCTATTCTTGCCATAAAATCATTAAGTGTGCTCCAAATTGACTGAAAATAAAATTGTTCAGCATACGCCATTTTGAAAGCATGTCTATACTTATCCACTATCATCCATTGTAACCACTATCAACATCCTAATTTCATTGGTCAAAAATATTCACATGTTTGATTTACTTTTGCCTTTCATTTATGTCATTTCCAGATATGAATTTTCTTATTCGTCCAAAGTTCAATCAATAAATGGTCAAAACAAAATTTTCGATACGTGCCACGCCTTAACAGCTTTCTCTAATCTTCTAAGTTGACTTTTTATAACAAATTGATATGTGGTTAATCTCTTTTACCACGACTTTTGTTGTAGATCGACAACTTTTTGCATTAGAATATTTCACAATAAAAAAACCGTCTGTGAAAAACTATAATTTTAAAATTGTAGTTGTTCATTCCTTTTTATGCAAGAGAAACCGCAAGTTATTAGCAGCCTTACAGATCTTGTATGTATTCCTGAAGTTACATTTAAGAAATATTGAATATATTTGCAATAACTGTTTTGGACTAAACAGCCCAAAAGTGTAAGAGATTGAGTTCAAAGATGTTTCATCTCCTTAATGAATGACTAAGGTGTTTCACTTGCACGTCAAACGTTTTTAACAAAATTTAACTTTAGTAACTGTAAACATATAACAAACTTAATGTAATGTTAGAAACATTGTTAGACAAAAAATCTGTTCTATAGTTCAATGTTGAGAAGCACATGTACACAACAGAGAAATGATGTTTATACAGAATATTTTGCAGAAAAGCTTTGTGTTTATAATACACAGCAAAGTTCAAAATCACCTAGTAAAGATCCTGCAAGTGCTATATACTGTTTTTGTGCATCAACCTAAAAGAAAAGTTCAATTTAAAAGTATTCATTACATGCAATGGAAGTTTTTTTCAAAAGTACATAGGTATTTGATAGAGAATCAATGGTCACATTTGCATTTTTTTTCCTGCATCACCAATACTAAGAATGTCAAGTACAAAATTTTACTCTCCTAAATGTTAAGGAATTCTTTGCAAATACAAATAGGGGAAATCATTCAGATTGCATGGCTTGGAGAGAAACTATGTATATTAAAACTATTGAAAAGCACAGATTTACATGTAGATATTTAAGCTGTATGTTCCGGTAGGTCTATATGTACTTATAATTTCCGGAAGACCCACACACTCAGTTCTTAATTAACAGTGTGCTGTCAACTTTGAACAAAACAACTTTTTTACTGTAAATAATTTGATGACGATAGATTTTAGTAAGACTTGTGAAAGTGTTCAATAAAATTGTTGAAACATACAGTTCTTTGGTGATGTTTGAAACTAGATACATATTGAATGTTCATTATAAGATAAGTGCAGCCTTTCTTAAACTAAATATTCACCTGTGATAAATCACCCAAATCGTTCCACGCATTCCATATTGACTTTCCAACAAAGTCCAAAATCTCAGGCTTTGGTGTATTACATTTGCCTAAAGAACCCTGGAAATGATATATTGTTATTTGGGCTCCTCTTATTTTTCATTTGATTGTATAGTATGGTGGGACTGTGAACAGTTATAAATGAAAAAATTGACTGTGCCTTTGCAAAAATGTGATTCAACTGCAATGATGCACATTGTGTATCAAAAATGTAAAGTCACCATTTAATTGAAGAACTTGTAGGTAGGAGATACAACAACTAATGTTCAAACTTTATGTAAAAACCGGATACAATATCTTTATGAATCGGTAAAACACCTGCTTAAAAGGGCGTACATCTTCAACTTCAATTCATTCCCTGGATCTTGAGTTAAAGATCCTACTTTGTCTTTTGCTTCTTTAAACTGGTGGGAGATTACAGAAAACTTTCCAACCATCTTCGTAAAAATGTGTTCAGGTTTAAATAAGGTCGAGATAGATAATTCAATATACCACGACGAAAAATTGCATGTAATTTACAAACTCTTGGCTTCACGTTCATTTGCTATCATAAAATTTACAATAAATATTTTTTTATTATTGATTGAACTTTGGACGAATAAGAAAATTCATATCTGGAAATGACATAAATGAAAGGCAAATGTAAATCAAACATGTGAATATTTTTGACCAATGAAATTAGGATGTTGATAGTGGTTACAATGGATGATAGTGGATAATTATAGACATGCTTTCAAAATGGCGTATGCTGAACAATTTTATTTTCAGTCAATTTGGAGCACACTTAATGATTTTATGGCAAGAATAGATAAATGTTGGCTGAACTGTATAAAATAAGGCGTTCAAGGATGCAATTTTGAAGCGTAAAAAAGACTTGAGGCATATACAAGGCAACTATCTTCCCGTAGCAGACTGACATTTGTGGTGAATTCACTGAATTGTTCTGGAAGCTAAAAGTTATTGGTTGTTATTCTGGCTATGTGAATCCAATCTATCTGCATGAGTTCTATGATGATATTAAACAGCAAATTGATGCGTTACGTATGAGTTGTATCGACCATCTTACTACACAGTCAACACTTCACCAACACTTTTAGTGGTGAAAATTTTATACCGACGTATCCCTGTGATAAAAAGACTCATAAGTAAAACTGCTTTCTTCAGAGTAAGGTAAAAATATTTTACTCTCTGATTGCCTAAATATTCTTTGAGTATTTAAAACTGGCTCATATAAGACCATACATGTATGTAGTTAATGGATCTAAATTTTAGCGTCTGCAATATTATTGTAAGTAAAACGATGCACGGTAATGAGGTAACTTAGTGATTAAATGTACTTGAAAGCTGAGGCATATTTTGTAGTAAAAGTCACAAGACTTGTAGCACCGAGGGACTTTAGCTAACGTTTCAAACATTACAACTCAATGGTTGCAACCAATGAACTATTTAATCAAGTTACATTTGTTTCATTGTGTGCAATTCCTCTTTATGGATATCAAAGGTATAGACAGTTATTCAAGAATGAAATAAAATATAGAATGTTTTCATTTGTTGATTTGTCATACAGATTGGTTTGTTTACCTCACAAAAAAGGGAGGCAATTTTTTACAGCGAACATAAATGCAGCCTTTACAATGTTTTTTAGTTGTCTTGTCAGAAATATTGAAAATCTTTAATGGTTGATAATATTTTTAATTGTTTAACTAAATGAGTTAGTTTTATACTTTATTAGAAACTGATGGAAGCTTTGAATATGTTTGGTCAAAAACAACAGATAAATCCTGGGGATGGGGGATGAAGCTTTCTATGTTTATAGATGTATACCATTGTGAATTTATAATTTCATTGCTATCACAATTTATAGATTAATGTAAAAATTTTTGATGCTATGAGACGGTCTCATCAATGTTCAACAATTGAACTGGATTTCCAATTTCCTGAGAGATTTAACCTCACTTACGCTAGGTTAGTTTTGCCAGTAAGCTTTTTGTTGATTAATCTCACTACGGTCTTGATACTTAATTCATTTAACCAACAGTGGCATGATTATTTGTTTCTATAGATACCTATTGTTATATATTTATATGCTTATATATACTATATACTTATATGCAGCCTGCTACATTGCTGAACACTGAAAGTCCCACCTGCATTCAAACTCGCCCACAAACAAACCCACCCGCATATAAGTATATGTATATGTAAGCCTGTGTATTATAATCAGACGATTATGGTACAGTTTAAGTTTCCATGAAATTGTAGATCTTTACAAATTGTAACAATTTAGTAATTTATCAATATTCTATTACTCTATTGACAGTGGTGAAGGAGATGGAAAATTACATCCTGTTATTATTCATCAAGCTATTCTAGGTTCAGTTGAAAAAATGATTGCTATTCTTGCTGAAAGCTTTGGTGGAAAATGGTGAGTGTTTTGTTGGCTCGTGCCAGAGCTTAAAGCAAATGAAATGTCCTTAAAATGTTAAATTAAAATGGTACAAAGTTTCATAATTGTTTGGAAATTTTTTATCATTTTTACGTTACTTTATTTTAAAATTTTGACGCACTGCATTTTCTGTTATTTTCTAGGATTTTATGGCTTTCTCCCCAACAAGTTGTAGTAATTCCTGTCAGTAGTAAATATAATGATTATTCCGAGCAGGTAAATTTAATTTAGTAAGCCTTAGATCAAACTTGCACAAGCTAATGCAAATTCAGCTATGGACAAATTGTTGCTATTTTATGAATTGGATTTTTTTTGTCCTTTTTTTTATTGACATTTTGGTCATGTTTAGAAGCTCCATGCCGCTGGTTATCGCGTTGATACAGACTTGGATCACGGATCAACACTAAATAAGAAAGTTCGCAATGCACAACTTTCACAGTACAACTTCATTCCTGGTATGAATTAAAGTCTTTTTAAACTATTTTTTATTTACTGTACGAATAAATAGAAATTAAAATGGTTTGGAACCACTGTTGGTGTTCAGAGTTTACTGACGTTTCCACAACAATAGTCAGGTTCGCCGTATTTGTTCTCTAGACGTCATGGAAGAGAGGGAATTATGTGGATGTGTTAGCTTGTGTGGTATACTTATTAATTGTTAGCTTGTAAGCCGTTTTTAAGGTGCTGATATTTGTATTCTGTTCAATGATTTTTGTTTTGAGTTTGTTAACCTACTTTCTAACGTAAGTCGTTGTCTATAGTCAGTGCTGCTTGTAATGTTGTGCATTGTGATGCTCACTTGTCAGTACTTGTTGTTCCTGGTAGTCAGTTGATGCGCGAGTTGTAAAATGTAAGGTATTATCATTTGCTGTTGTTGGATTGTTTGTTGTTTTTATTTTTGTTTGTTTGTTTTGTGTTCATTGTCCTTTTAAGTGTTGTCTATTTTAAAAAGCAAAATAGATGGTTAAATGATTTCATGTTGTTTTTTAAACAGTTGTTGGTGAAAAAGAGACGGTCTCAGACACGGTCAACGTCAGAACACGTGACAACAAAGTACTCGGTGAAAAGTCGGTCATGGCTATGATCGAACGCTTGCAAGATTTAGTCAGCTCACGAAGTCTGACAATCGAAGATTTTTGAAATAAAACAACATTTTTATGGTAAAGAAAAAATGAATTTACTCGCAAAAATAAATTTGAATGTAAATCCCATGATGCGTCGCAATTATAGAAAAATAGGTACGCGTACATGCTACTGGTCACTGGCAGACTGGGGGCAGTGGTCACTGGTACTTTATCAGTGGTCACTGGTACTTTATCAGTGGTGGTAATATTGATTTTATCGTGGTGGTAAATTCTTCCATTCGTAATTTATGGCGATAACCATCAGCAACTTTTCAAATTTTTACAATCAAGTTTTCACTCAAACGAGATCGCTTCTCTTTCATATTTTGGCTTGTTTCTTGAGCTAGTAGGAGGCCTTATGCGTTGATACAAATCTGTTGAAAATTGATGAATTATACAATGACCAATCATGTAACTACGCGAAGTTCTTAAATTCATTAATAATGAATATTTTTGAAAATTTGTTGAAAAAAGTAGAGTTGCCATATTGAATAATTCCGACGAGCTCACGATCGGAAATTATCGTCGTGACGTCCTAATTCTTTCTCAAAAACGAGATAGTTTTCCCGCGTCGTTCAGGCCAGAATGGGAACTTGTTCACTATATCTCTGTAAAGAAACGACGATTTTAGTGTTGAAATATATGTTGTTGTTTGTGTCTTATTTAGTTTTAAAAACGGCTAACTTATCTACTACTTGACGTACCGAAAGGTTTCTTTTTTTTCGTCCCTAATAGCTAGCCGAAAAGCAGAATTCGGAAGCAGACAAAGATAGTTGTGCTCGACTTCGACAAAGATATTTGTGTTCGACTTCGACCAAGATATTTGTGCTCGACTTCGACAAAGATGGTGTGCGTTTGACAAAGACGAAAGCAAGAGGTGAATAATTTATTTTTCTTAACACTTATCAAAAATAAGTTTTAGCTTTGCTATGTTTAAGGCTATTTTGTATTTGGACAAACGACATTCTTGGAATAAAATCGAAAGGGAATATTGTTTAGTCCAAGACAAAGAACGTCACAAACTTATGACAGCAACATTTGCATACTTTTCTAAGATTGACGATGAACTGCTTGCATGAACGATCCCTATGCGCATATTAGCAATCAAACATCACTTGTGCAAACAATAAAACTGTTTTGTTCATTAAAAAGAACAATTGTCAGTTTAAGGATTACACTTTACCGGATTCGCTCAACACGACATCTTCATTTGCTTTCAAGTGTTAACTGTTCGGAGTAAAAGCTTATTAAGCTGATGGATTTAGTCTATTTGATTGTGTTTCTGACGTTGAACAATTTCACTGCCTTTTAATACATAGAATTTTCAACCTGCTACGATAGCAATGTAATCCGGTATAGTGTAAACGGAGCCTCAATCATTTTATAGCAAGAATATTTAAATGTTGGCTAAAATGTATAAAAAAACGCGACTTCGGGCAAGGATGTATTTGGGAAGCGATGTTAGCGATCAAAAATGGACTGGAGGCATGAGTATATAAAAGACAGCTATCTTCACGTAGTAGACTGAGTTTGGTGGTGAATTATTCTGGAAAACTAAAACCTATTGAATTGCATTGTGAAAAGTTGAAAACTATCTTTATATCTGCGTAAGTTCTATCAAGATTTTAAACAACAAATAGTTGCTTTACGTATGATTTTTGTCGACGAACGTCTAGATGCTGGATGCTATAGATTGAAATATCTGGGAAAATGTTGATAGTGAGAATTTCATAGCGACGTATGCACGTGATAAAAAACCAATAAAGAAAAACTTTGCTATGCAGAGGAATGTAAAGATATTTTACTCGCAGAATTACTATATATTCTTCAACAAAGTAGTTCATACTACAGCGATGAAAAATATAAAGCGTCGTATTTAACGCAAACCTTGGTTAAACCAGGGTTAGTTGACACATGTGCACTTGTATAATATGTCCAAATGAAAATGTTTTGTGGAATTCCCCTTCATTTGGTAAAATATTATCGCAGTGGGCCAAGATCGTCCCTCGTTTCGACAGTCATTTGCTATTCGTACTGGAGCTCTAGAATCTTACTGTTTTTAGTCGTAAATGTGACCAATTCTTCATTCGTTTTCTTGTTATTGTGTAATGCTTAACATAGCAAAACAAAGACTAGCTATATAAAGCTACACTTACAAACATTTCATATTCCAGCTGCAAGACCCGTAACAGACTATGACAAATGTTTGTTTGGAGAAAAAATATTAACATATCTTGTCGAGTCTCCATTTGTGAATATCCATTTGAGAAATGCTTGCAAGAATATGGACTACAAGATTACAAGAATAAAATGCGGAATGGAAACGAAAGATTAGAATACACATTGAACTTCAAAAACAAAGGAACTAGGCTTTATAATGTGGCTACAATTGACTACATTTCATACATTGGTTCAATGGTTAAGGTATGGATTAGGGTCAGGCTTAGATTATGATTAGTTTAAGTGTTAAGATTAGGGTTAGAATTGTTTAAAAGTTTCTTATAAACGTAGAATTAGTCAAACTTATCAACACTTTGTTATGCCCCTCGTAATATCGGTGACAATGTTAAAGATGTTTATATTTCTCTTCATAACTTTGTGTCTGCATATTTTCTACATAAACAAACTGCTTTAATATTTATGACAGATATTATAATTCGTAGATCGAGGTAGAAGAACTCCTTGAAAATGAAACTTCCAACATTGAAACAAAATCAAGCATGGCAGAAGAGAAACAACGACGCTAGGTTAAACATAGCTTGATGAAATTGAACGTAGTTGAAGCACCTAACATACGCTCGAGAGTTTTGGATAAACACTTGTCAACCACTGAAAACTCGAATGATTCCAAGCATGTTTACCACATAAAGGCTCCAGCGAGGCAGGCTGTTGCGGCATATCGAAACATCGATAAATTTTGGGGGTTTTTTTTATTATCGGTTTAGCGATATTGGTTTTTTCGGTATATCGATGTACCGAAAATATCGAAAAAATATGAAAATATTCGTTGTTTTCAAAACAACAAAAAGAACTTTTACAAAAATAGGAATTCACCCCCCTGAAAATATAATTTTATCATATTTCAAAATTTTCATCAAAAAAAAAATTTATCATTTTGAACAGATTTTCCACAACAATAAAAACTTTTACAAAAATAGGAATTCCACCCCTGAAAATGAATTTTATCATATTTCAAACTTTTCATAAAAAGACTATAATTTATGCATTTGAACAGATTTTCCGCAACAAAAAGATTTTTTGTAAAAATAGGAATTACACCTCCCCTAAGAATGAATATAATCATATTTGAAAATTTTTATCAAAAAACTACAATTTATGCATTTGAACAGGTTTTCGAAAAAAAAAACTTTTACAAAAATAAGAATTCCACTCCTACTGAAAATAAATTTTATCATACTTCAAAATTTTTTTATATTTTCACCATCATGAGTTGAACATTTGAGTTACCTTGCATGAGTCGTTTTTACTTAAAATATGTTCTTTAACAATTTTGGTTCATCATTGTTATTGTTTTCTTGTTATTGATTTTATTTAGTATTTGGTAATATTGCAACTAAAATATTAACTCGTTTCAGTCTCCGCTTGCCGAAATCAAGATGGCTTCTAACCTTGAACATTTCAAACATTACAACTCAATGGTTGCAACCGATGAACTATTCAATCAAGTTACATTTGTTTCATTGTGTGCAATTCCTCTTTATGGATATCAAAGGTATAGACAGTTATTCAAGAATGAAATAAAATATAGAATGTTTTCATTTGTTGATTTGTCATACAGATTGGTTTGTTTACCTCCCAAAAAAGGGAGGGACTTTGTTTACAGAGAACATAAATGCAGCCTTTACAATGTTTTTTAGTTGTCTTGTTAGAAATATCGAAAATGTTTAATGATTGATAATATTTTTAATTGTTTAACTAAATGAGTTAGTTTTATAATTTATTAGAAACTGGTGGAAGCTTTGAATATGTTTGGTCAAAAACGACAGATAAATCCTGGGGATGGGGGATGAAGCTTTCTATGTTTATAGATGTATACCATTGTGAATTTATAATTTCATTGCTATCACAATTTATAGATTAATGTAAAAATTTTTGATGCTATAAGACGGTCTCATCAATATGCAACAATTGAACTGGTTTTCCAATTTCCTGAGAGATTCAACGTCACTTACGCTAGGTTAGTTTTGCCAGTAAGCTTTTTGTTGAATAACCTCACCATGGTCTTGATACTTAATTCATTTAACCAACATTGGCATGATTATTTGTTTCTATAGAAACCTATTGTTATATATTTATATGCTTATATTTACTATATACTTATATGCAGCCTGCTACATTGCTGAGCACTGAAAGTCCCACCTGCATTCAAACTCGCCCACAAACAAACCCACCCGCATATAAGTATATGTATATGTAAGCCTGTGTATTATAGTCAGAGGATTATGGTACAGTTTAAGTTTCCATGAAATTGTAGATCTTTACAAATTGTAACAATTTAGTAATTTATCAACATTCTATCACTCTATTGACAGTGGTGAAGGAGATGAAAAATTACATCCTGTTATTATTCATCAAGCTATTCTAGGTTCAGTTGAAAAAATGATTGCTATTCTTGCTGAAAGCTTTGGTGGAAAATGGCGAGTGTTTTCTTGGCTCATACCAGAGCTTAAAGCAAATGAAATGTCCTTAAAATATTAAATTAAAATGGTACAAAGTTTCATAATTGTTTGGAAATTTTTTATCATTTTTACGTTACTTTATTTTAAAATTTTGACGCACTGCATTTTCTGTTATTTTCTAGGATTTTATGGCTTTCTCCCCTTCAAGTTGTAGTAATTGCTTGTCAGTAGTAAATATAATGATTATTCCGAGCAGGTAAATTTAATTTAGTAAGCCTTAGATCAAACTTGCACAAGCTAATGCAAATTCAGCTATGGACAAATTGTTGCTATTTTATGAATTGAATTTTTTTTGTCCTTTTTTTTATTGACATTTTGGTCATGTTTAGATTCAAAAGAAGCTCCATGCCGCTGGTTATCGCGTTGATACAGACTTGGATCACGGATCAACACTAAATAAGAAAGTTCGCAATGCACAACTTTCACAGTACAACTTCATTCCTGGTATGAATTAAAGTCTTTTTAAACTATTTTTTATTTACTGTACAAATAAATAGATATTAAAAAGGTTTGGAACCACTGTTGGTGTTCAGAGTTTACTGACGTTTCCACAACATTAGTCAGGTTCGCCGTATTTGTTTTCTAGACGTCATGAAAGAGAGGGAAATATGTGGATGTTTTAGTTTGTGTGGTATACTTATTAATTGTTCGCTTGTAAGCCGTTTATAAGGTGCTGATATTTGTATTCTGTTCAATGATTTTTGTTTTGAGTTTGTTAACCTACTTTCTAACGTAAGTCGTTGTCTATAGTCAGTGCTGCTTGTAATGTTGTGCATTGTGATGCTCACTTGTCAGTACTTGTTGTTCTTGGTAGTCAGTTGATGCGCGAGTTGTAAAATGTAAGGTATTATCATTTGCTGTTGTCGGATTGTTTGTTGTTTGTCTTTTTGTTTGTTTGTTTTGTGTTCATTGTCTTTTTAAGTGTTGTCTACTTTAAAAAGCATAAATATGAAGACATAAAATTTAAAAAACTGAGGCTTTTAAAAACAGCAAATGATAATACCTTACATTTTACAACTCGCGCATCAACTGACTACCAAGAATAACAAGTACTGACAAGTGAGCATCACAATGCACAACATTACAAGCAGCACTGACTATAGACAACGACTTACGTTGGAAAGTAGGTTAACAAACTCAAAACAAAAATCATTGAACAGAATACAAATATCAGCACCTTATAAACGGCTTACAAGAAGCAATTAATAAGTATACCACACAAACTAAAACATCCACATATTCTCTGTCATGACGTCTGAAACAAATACGGCGAACCGACTAATGTTGTGGAAACGTCAACCTGAACACCAACAGTGGTTCCAAACTCTTTAATTTTATTTATTTGTACAGTAAATCAAAAAATAAAAAGACTTTAATTCATACCAGAATGAAGTTTACTGTGAAAGTTGTAGTTTGTTGAAGTTTGCTGTTGTTGGATTGTTGTTTGTTTGTATTTTGTTTGTTTGTGTTCATTGTCTTTTTAAGTGTTGTCTACTTTAAAAAGCAAAATAGATGGTTAAATGATTTCATGTTGTTTTTTAAACAGTTGTTGGTGAAAAAGATACGGTCTCAGACACGGTCAACGTCAGAACACATGACAACAAAGTACTCGGTGAAAAGTCGGTCATGGCCATGATCGAATGCTTGCGCAAAAATAAATTTGAATGTAAATCCCATGATACGTCGCAATTATAGAAAAATAGGTACGCGTACATGCTATTGGTCACTGGCAGACTGGCGGCAGTGGTCACTGGTACTTTATCAGTGGTGGTAATATTGATTTTATCGTGGTGGTAAATTCTTCCATTCGTAATTTATGGCGATAACCATCAGCAACTTTTCAACTTTTTACCATCAAGTTTTCACTCAAACGAGATCGCTTCTCTTTCATATTTTGGCTTGTTTCTTGAGCTAGTAGGAGGCTGTATGCGTTGATACAAATCTGTTGAAAATTTATGAATTATACAATGACCAATCATGTAACTACGCGAAGTTCTTAAATTTATTAATAATGAATATTTTTGAAGATTTGTTGAAAAAAGTAGAGTTGCCATATTGAATAATTCCGACGAGCTCACGATCGGAAATTTTCGTCGTGACGTCCTAATTCTTTCTCAAAAACAAGATAGTTTTCCCGCGTCGTTCAGGCCAGAATGGGAACTTGTTCACTATATCTCTGTAAAGAAACGACGATTTTAGTGTTGAAATATATGTTGTTTGTGTCTTATTTAGTTTTAAATACGGCTAACTACTTTGTTGAAGAATATATAGTAATTCTGCGAGTAAAATATCTTTACCTTCCTCTGCATAGCAAAGTTTTTCTTTATTGGTTTTTTATCACGTGCATACGTCGCTATGAAATTCTCACTATCAAGATTTTCCCAGATATTTGCAATCTATAGCATCCAGGATCTAGACGTTCGTCGACAAAAATCATACGTAAAGCAACTATTTGTTGTTTAAAATCGCACACCATCTTTGTCGAAGTCGAGCACAAATATCTTGGTCGAAGTCGAAAACAAGTATCTTGGTCGAAGTCGAACACAAATATCTTTGTCGAAGTCGAGCACAACTATCTTTTTCGGCTTCCAAATGCTGCTTTTCGGCTAGCTTTTAGGGACCACAAAAAAGAAACCTTTTGGTACGTCAAGTAGTAGATAAGTTAGCCGTATTTAAAACTAAATAAGACACAAACAACATATATTTCCAACACTAAAATTGTCGTTTCTTTACAGAGATATAGTGAAGAAGTTCTCATTCTATCCTGAACGACGATGGAAAACTACCTCGTTTTTGAGAAAGAATTAGACGTCACGACGATAATTTCCGATCGTGAGCTCGTCGGAATTATTTAATATGGCAACTCTACTTTTTTCAACAAATCTTCAAAAATATTCATTATTAATGAATTTAAGAACTTCGCGTAGTTACATGATTGGTCATTGTATAATTCATCAATTTTCAACAGATTTGTATCAACGCATACAGCCTCCTACTAGCTCAAGAAACAAGCCAAAATATGAAAGAGAAGCGATCTCGTTTGAGTGAAAACTTGATGGTAAAAAGTTGAAAAGTTGCTGATGGTTATCGCCATAAATTACGAATGGAAGAATTTACCACCACGATAAAATCAATATTACCACCACTGATAAAGTACCAGTGACCACTGCCGCCAGTCTGCCAGTGACCAATAGCATGTACGCGTACCTATTTTTCTATAATTGCGACGTATCATGGGATTTACATTCAAATTTATTTTTGCGCAAGCATTCGATCATGGCCATGACCGACTTTTCACCGAGTACTTTGTTGTCATGTGTTCTGACGTTGACCGTGTCTGAGACCGTATCTTTTTCACCAACAACTGTTTAAAAAACAACATGAAATCATTTAACCATCTATTTTGCTTTTTAAAGTAGACAACACTTAAAAAGACAATGAACACAAAACAAACAAACAAAAATACAAACAACAAACAATCCAACAACAGCAAATGATAATACCTTACATTTTACAACTCGCGCATCAACTGACTACCAAGAACAACAAGTACTGACAAGTGAGCATCACAATGCAAAACATTACAAGCAGCACTGACTATAGACAAAGACTTACGTTAGAAAGTAGGTTAACAAACTCAAAACAAAAATCATTGAACAGAATACAAATATCAGCACCTTATAAACGGCTTACAAGCGAACAATTAATAAGTATACCACACAAACTAAAACATCCACATATTTCCCTCTCTGTCATGACGTCTAGAAAACAAATACGGCGAACCTGACTAATGTTGTATAAACGTCAGTAAACTCTGAACACCAACAATGGTTCCAAACCTTTTTAATTTCTATTTATTTGTACAGTAAATAAAAAATAGTTTAAAAAGGCTTTAATTCATACCAGGAATGAAGTTGTACTGTGAAAGTTGTGCATTGCGAAGTTTGTTATTTAGTGTTGATCCGTTATCCAGGTCTGTATCAACGCGATAACCAGCGGCATGGAGGTTCTTTTGAATCTAAACATGACCAAAATGTCAATAAAAAAAAAGGACAAAAAAAATCCAATTCATAAAATAGTAACAATTTGTCCATAGCTGAATTTGCATTAGCTTGTGCAAGTTTGATCTAAGGCTTACTAAATTAAATTTACCTGCTCGGAATAATCATTATATTTACTACTGACAGGAATTATTGCAACTTGAAGGGGAGAAAGCCATAAAATCCTAGAAAATAACAGAAAATGCAGTGCGTCAAAATTTTAAAATAAAGTAATGTAAAAATGATAAAAAATTTCCAAACAATTATGAAACTTTGTACCATTTTATTTCAACATTTTAAGGACATTTCATTTGTTTTAAGCTCTGGCATGAGCCAAGAAAACACTCACCATTTTCCACCAAAGCTTTCAGCAAGAATAGCAATCATTTTTTCAACTGAATCTAGAATAGCTTGATGAATAATAACAGGATGTAATTTTTCATCTCCTTCACCACTGTCAATAGAGTGATAGAATATTGATAAATTACTAAATTGTTACAATTTGTAAAGATCTACAATTTCATGGAAACTTAAACTGTACCATAATCCTCTGACTATAATACACAGGCTTACATATACATATACTTATATGCGGGTGGGTTTGTTTGTGGGCGAGTTTGAATGCAGGTGGGACTTTCAGTGTTCAGGAATGTAGCAGGCTGCATATAAGTATATAGTATATATAAGCATATAAATATATAACAATAGGTTTCTATAGAAACAAATAATCATGCCACTGTTGGTTAAATGAATTAAGTATCAAGACCGTAGTGAGGTTATTCAACAAAAAGCTTACTGGCAAAACTAACCTAGCGTAAGTGACGTTGAATCTCACAGGAAATTGGAAATCCAGTTCAATTGTTGCACATTGATGAGACCGTCTCATAGCATCAAAAATTTTTACATTAATCTAGAAATTGTGATAGCAATGAAATTATAAATTCACAATGGTATACATCTATAAACATAGAAAGCTTCATCCCCCATCCCCAGGATTTATCTGTCGTTTTTGACCAAATATATTCAAAGCTTCCATCAGTTTCTAATAAAGTATAAAACTAACTCATTTAGTTAAACAATTAAAAATATTATCAATCATTACACATTTTCGATATTTCTAACAAGACAACTAAAAAACATTGTAAAGGCTGCATTTATGTTCGCTGTAAACAAATTGCCTCCCTTTTTTGTGAGGTAAACAAACCAATCTGTATGACAAATCAACAAATGAAAACATTCTATATTTTATTTCATTCTTGAATAACTGTCTATACCTTTGATATCCATAAAGAGGAATTGCACACAATGAAACAAATGTAACTTGATTAAATAGTTCATTGGTTGCAACCAATGAGTTGTAATGTTTGTATTGTTCAAGGTTAGAAGCCATCTTGATTTCAGCAAGCGGAGACTGAAACGAGTTAATATTTTAGTTGCAATATTACCAAATACTAAATAAAATCAATAACAAGAAAACAATAACAATGATGAACCAAAATTGTTAAAGAACATATTTTAAGTAAAAACGACTCATGCAAGGTAACTCAAATGTTCAACTCATGATGGTGAAAATATAAAAAAATTTTGAAGTATGATAAAATTTATTTTCAGTAGGAGTGGAATTCTTATTTTTGTAAAAGTTCTTTTTTTTTGGAAAACCTGTTCAAATGCATAAATTGTAGTTTTTTGATAAAAATTTTGAAATATGATTATATTCATTCTTAGGGGATGTGGAATTCCTATTTTTATAAAAAATCTTTTTGTTGCCGAAAATCTGTTCAAATGCATAAATTATAGTGTTTTTATGAAAAGTTTGAAATATGATAAAATTCGTTTTCAGGGGGTGGAATTCCTATTTTTGTAAAAGTTTTTATTGTTGTGGAAAATCTGTTCAAAATGATAAATTTTTTTTTGATGAAAATTTTGAAATATGATAAAATTATATTTTCAGGGGGGTGAATTCCTATTTTTGTAAAAGTTCTTTTTGTTGTTGAAAACAACGAATATTTTCATATTTTTTCGATATTTTCGGTACATCGATATACCGAAACCAATATCGCTAAACCGATAATTAAAAAACCCCCCAATATTTATCGATGTTTCGATATGCCGCAACAACCTACCTCGCTGGAGCCTTTATGTGGTAAACATGCTTGGAATCATTCGAGTTTTCAGTGGTTGACAAGTGTTTATCCAAAATTCTCGAGCGTATGTTAGGTGCTTGAACTACGTTCACTTTCATCAAGCTATCTTTAACCTAGCGTCGTTGTTTCTCTTCTGCCATGCTTGGTTTTGTTTCAATGTTGGAAGTTTCATTTTCAAGCAGTTCTTCTACCTCGATCTACGAATTATAATATCTGTCATAAATATTAAAGCAGTTTGTTTATGTAGAAAATATGCAGACACAAAGTTATGAAGAGAAATATAAACATCTTTAACATTGTCACCGATATTACGAGGGGCATAACAAAGTGTTGATAAGTTTGACTAATTCTACGTTTATAAGAAACTTTTAAACAATTCTAACCCTAACCTTAACAATTAAACTAATCATAATCTAACCCTGACCCTAGCAGCATCTCTCATTGTTATTTTAAGGATAGAGCAAAGTAAAGTATAAAAGCGTTTAGTTGTGATCAATGTTTTGCCCAGTTTGATATTAGTTCGAGTGTGCTCTTTTTTTGTTGTACTTTTAAAATAAATATGCCTAGAGTCCGTCTCAAGAGGGCCGGGGTGGTTATTTTTGGAATTCTGTGTTGAAATAGTAGTTGCCTTAAAGGGAGCTGCTATTTTTGAGATGTTAAGGAATATCGTCTCTTCAGAAAGTCATATCTGAAAGCATTCACGTGCCATTAATTGGCGGTTTGTTGAAAAACCTCTGTAAGTTTTTCGTTTGCTTGTTCAAAAGCTCTCTGCGAGTGAGGAATGTATTTTCCAGATTAACATTCTATTTTAAACATACAGAAACAAAATCTGACTACATTAAATATTTAAAATCACAGCAGTTAGGACGTACGATAACATCATGCATTTCCTTGCAAAACTCAATTTCTCATCATTAACTATATTGCTCGTCATTCAATTCGAGTGCTACTGAAGTACAATTATATTTTAGGGTAACTTAATGATAAATTGAATAAAATTTACTTTTCTACTGCTTGAATACATTTTGCATTATCTCGTTCAGAAATTTTTATGTTCGGCCAGTCAACAGAATATTTAGAATATAACTGGCTGGAACGAAAACTGTAGACAATTACACGGTCATTGGGGCTGACCAACGATGAAATGAAGTTGATTAAGTGCAGTTTTAGTGCAGATAGGCGGGCCATAGCTGTACTTACCTAAAAATGTTTCAATTTAAACAAGTGCAAACTGTTATCGCCTATATTGGTATTCGTCAAAACCGCTTAAAGCTTCCAGGAGACACTTTCGAAGTAAATTTTTTTATTATTCTAAAAGAACTCAAATGTACATGAAAGTCAATTTGAAAAAATTAATCTTTAAAATATGTGTTATTGTCAAGCCATACGAACGAGCAGTTTACACACATTGTCGGGCCTGATTTTGAAATTTGAGAGGCAAGCAGTCACAGGAGTCAAATGCAGGGGGGTCGTTTCCCATGGCTCAACTGCTGCCTTCTTCGCAACCACTAGGAACTACTACATATGTTGCTACGCGACATCCATGGGTCAAATTCAAGCCGGAAAATTATTGTCGTCGTCAATCAATCGTCATCTCACGTCATGGCTTACGCCCGTCAGGCTCACACTCAAAGAGTGGGGCTTCAAAATCTCTTTATAAATATTTAAAGCAGCATTTTCATTCCTTTGATTGCCTGATTTATAATATTTTTGGCTCGGCCAACCATTGCCTAGATAGTTCTTCATACAAGCTTTCCCATTCAGTAATTAGTAATGTCATGACCCACTGACTGCAAAGTAAAAAACATTTTTCACCCCGTAGATGAAAAATGTTTTACTAATTTGGGTGTATGTTTGAGGACTTTCACTTGTGGAGGATTATAAATATGCATAATTTGAGAGTTCGCTTAGCGCTTTTCCTCGTTTGACCAATGTTCGAAAGATTATGAAGTAGGTAACAGTCATGAACATTATAGGGAAAATGTAAACGCAGACAAAAAAAGCAAACAATTCGTATAGGACATAACGACGTTGAGGATCTACCATACACTCTTGAATAGTCATTCCAACTGTCGTAACCAAACCAATTATGTACGCTGAACCACAAATTATCTTTATCTTTCGTTGACTGAAGGAAGGTTTCAATGGATGAACTATCGCACGATAACGTAGGACTGAAATGAATAGCATCAAAGAAACTCCACTTACTTTAAATACAGTATGTACGCCAGCTATATATGAACAGTTTAAAGAAATTGGGATGCTTTTCATCTTAATGAAAAATATACTTAGCAGTGCCAGTGCGTCACATATAGCGAGATGCAAGACAAGAATGTAGTATTTCTTATTTATAAACAGAATCTTTTGTTTTAATATCAAAGCGATCACAAGAGTATTTCCAACAATGCCAAATACACATATACAAATACGCAAAAATACAAAAGCAGCCATAACAATTAAATTGATGTATTCCTATCAGTCTATGTTTCAATTGAAAAACTGTTTTTTCAGTTAATAGGTCAAGTTGCAATGTTTGACTAAAGTACGGTCTCGTTGTTGTTTTTGTCGCTATTAGCTATGCTTGTATGCTGTATATATATTTGTACTGTCTTTCTGCGGGTAATGTGTATTTAAATGTACCAATGAGCACCCACGAAAACTGATACTTCATAATAATACCCATTAAAGTGCTAATATTACGAATTTTAGCCCCCCTTTTTTATGAGCTTAATTGAAAGGCCTTGTTTCAGTGATTTTAAATCTGCAATTATAATTGAAATTGGATTGGTGAAAGTGATTTTACGGACGTTCAAAGTCATGATTTTCAGCATATTTTTGCGAACTTTTTGGTCGGTATGCTAATTACTTGTGACGTAGAAAGTTGAACACATATATCAACATGGCGTATTCTACTAGTAATCTTAATAAGAAACGCGGAGGAAAACACTGTGTTGCTGGCGGACCTAATCAAATTAGTTGCGCCAATGATTCAAAAACCGAAGGAATGTCGATGCACCTGTTTCCTAAAAAAAGAAACAGAGCCGCAAAGACATAGAAAATGGGTAAATTTTGTGCGTAAACATAGACCGGGTTTTGAGGCTTCCTCTACCTCGTGTCTGTGTTCTGCACATTTTGAAGATTCTTGTTTTGACCTTAATTTGAACGTGCAAGTCAAGCTCAAAAGAAGGTTGAAGAAAGATACTATCCCAACCATTGACGTGGCTGGGATTCCTGAACCATTACAGGACGAAATAACCGATCGAAAGCGAAAACAAGTAAGTTTACGCTTGTTTATGTAAATTTTTCTTTTGTCATATGTAAATTCGATATAAGTTTTGTAGATTATTCGACATACTCTCCATAAGCCATCGCTGAATGAAACATGTTTTCTTGATGAGGAAGAACCATCTACTAGTGATGGAGCTGAGCATGTTGAAGTATGCACTAAGGTAGCAAACTATTCGCCATTTGAAGAACTACATGCAGTTGGTGAAGATATTTGTGAATCCCAGTCTCCATGTAAATCGTGCCATCGTCTTAAGAAAAAACTTACATCTTTAGAAAAGACTTTAAGCTGGTATAAAAAGACAAAAGCATCTTTAACGAAAAAGGCCCAGAAGTTACAAAATGAATATCGAAGCGAAATCAGGGAAAATCGTAATACATCAGTGGTGACCAGCATTAATATAGACGATGGAATGCAGGGGAGTGCTGAAGAGCTTTTCGAAGGAGAATCATACATGGACTACTCCTCTTTTGAAGAGTCTAGTCAGAGTGAAGATTTAGATGAAGATACCACAAGTAATACAGTCAGGTATTTTATCTTATAAAGAATTAGATCTCTGTTGTATTTCATAATAATGAATTTTCTTAATCGTGTTTCAGAATTGATGGAGGAGCAAGCTCGCATGAACAACCTATGTTCATGGTATTTTACATCTCAATCGGTTGAGTTATTTGAAAAATTTTGCTTTAACTGCAAGGAGAAAATTTAAACGTACACATTAAAAAAGATTGGTTCGATGGCCATTGTAGAGAAAATTGTGGTAAATGTGTTGAAAAGAACTTTATGTGGTAAACACAAGCAGGTAAAGGCCGAGTATTCTCCCATCCCATAGACTCACAAAACCATCGCATCAACCATCTGTATGTAACAGCTCTCAACTACCTGAAGTAAATAAAAAGGTTGGAGTAATTATTGTTGATGAAACAATGTTGATGATAACATTGTTTCTCATAAATTTACAATCTTATATATTTAATGATTGTGATGCTTGGCGGCGATAAGCACGTCCATTCCTATCTCTCAATAGTGGCCTGACGTTTTCAAGGACAGCCTCATGAACTAAAGGCCCAAATTTGGTATGCTGTGTTATGCATATTTTCTCAATGCTGCCATCAAATGTCATTTTCTGCAAAGCTGGTCCTATTTCCTTACAGCATCTGTACTCTAATGTGCCTTCTAACAAATCGGTATGACAGCATTAACAATTACACCTGAAACGTGGAAGTATTGTGGCTTATACCAACAATAACATCGTTGATCGTTCAATTTATACAAATCGAAACATTTTAGCAAGTACTTTTCTATTTTGAAAAGATCCAACTGGATGTATTCAATAATATACATGCTTCTCCATGTATTCAATAATATACATATTTGTACGTACATCTATTTACAGAAACCCATAGTTTCGGAGGATGTGACAAGTATTCTATATTATCTCATTTATCTTTCAAAACCAAATCTCGTGTAAGTTTGAGCTAAGAGTTGTGTTTTTCTGTAAATTTGTACTTCCACAGAAAAACGTTGATAATAATTGTTTTGGATAAAAATACATTTACAAACTGATAATTTTTTTTGAATTTTATGCGCATTTTTATGTTTGCCACATTAATACAAAAAAGAATTTGTGTTTTATTTTAAAGCTTCGTAGTTTGTTCAAGTTATTTTACGCTTCTGTCTATCGGCCGTGTGCTTACAAATGCGTGGAAAGACTGGGCTCTACTGGCTTCAAAATATCGACTGAGGTAGCCTTCCATCTATTTAGTTCAATGGTTTATACATAATAATGTATTGCAGTGTTATCAAACAAAGTTGAGTAACGCCAATGAGAGACATTTACACAATATATAAACGCCTGCTAAGATCTGTATAAGGATGTTTTTAAAAGTTGTGATGTTGGTCTCTAATGATGCTGGCATCTAATGGCCTATCTTTGGGTGCATATGAATTGAATCTTTTTTCTGTGCCCTTCTGGAGATGAAAAAAATTATTGTATGTTTCTCTCTTTGTTGGAAAAAGTGTTCACTATATACAGTTATTTAGCAATCTACCCCCATCTGTCCTTCTTTGTATGTTTCTCTCTCTATTGGAAAAATTAATCACTACACAGCCATTTACCAGTATCTGTCCTTTTTTATTTTTCTCATGAACACCTAAACCTTACGATTATTTCCTTTTGTTTATGTTGCCTGCACCAAATTTTCCATGATTCACATGCATTTCTAGAGCTTTCGTGATGATTGTGTTTATTGAAAATTTATGGGCTTATCAAATAAATTAAGGAAAAATGTTAATTGCGTGTATTTTCGCTACGTATTTCATTCTAAATCCACAGGATTGTTGTTAATACGTCCAATTTCTACATAAACTGCTGCCGTATTTTACATGCATTTTGAAAATGCTGTCAACGAACATAATCATCTCAAATACGTTTTACTATTTATTGGTAAAGTAAATTAAAGTTTTATTTTAAAGTAAATTACGGTTTTACGATGCTAACATGCATAAACTTATTATATAGGAATAAAGCATTTATAAGGAATAGGATATAAAGCAGTTAGGATATAAGGCATATCCTAAATTTCTAATAGCAAAAATGTTTCAAATCAGAACCAAAGTGTATTAACAATTTTCAACAACATGTATGGAGTACACTATTCAATACGCTAAAATTTGGTCTCTCAAATTGCTTGAATTTTGTAAACTTTATCTATTTTCTGTAGTACTTCCAGAAGTAAAGAATTTTTCTATCCAGTATTCCATAGATCAGAGGATTCAACGAATGTAAGCCAAAAATGCGGACAACAGAAGCAATGTTCTGATTAGTTGAAGTATTTGATGAAAGCGCGTTGTTGATATCCATTGCATCCACAACTAGAAGGTAAATATGACCAACTGAAAAGCAGAGGACTGTGAACACACAGACGAAAAATATCTTTTTATTTTTAGCATCTCGATGACGACTTGAGCTGGTGGAGGATTGTAGATGAGAATGTGTCGGATTGGAGTTAGTTCTTAGTGCTTTTCTTTGTTTCATCAATGCTTGAGCGATTATGGAGTAAGTCACAGTCATGAAGGTTATTGGGAAAATGTAGACACATGAATAAAACGCACACAATTCGTAAATGTAATAACGACCTTGAGGATCCACAATGCACTCTTGAAATGTCATTCCAACTGTCGTAACAAAACCAATGATGTACGCTAAACCACAAACGATTTTTATCTTTCTTCGACTGAAAGAAAGTTTCAATGGATGAACTGTCGCACGATAACGTAGAACTGAAATGATCAACATTATAGATACTCCACTTATTTGGAAAAAAGTATCTATGCCACTTATGTATGAGCAGTTTAACAAAATTGGGACGCTTTTCGAAGCATAATAAGAAATGTCAATGACAAATAGACTTAGAAGTGCTAGTACGTCACATATCGCGAGATGTAAGACTAGAAAGTAGTAGTTCTTCTTTAACAGAATCATTTGTTTTAAAATTGAAGTGATCACAAGAGTATTTCCAACAATGCCAAATACATATATTGCAACATGCAAAAATACAAATGCTGCCATTAAGATGTGATATAATGGATTATCTGCCCAATTTTCTAGATCGGCACTTTTTCTGTTTCTTTAATTTAAAATGCAATAAAGACCTGTGTGTTTTTCCATTTTTAAATAACAGTCAGCAGTATTCGCTTTTTTACTTCTGCAATATATATATTGTTGGATATTGCTAAAAACGTACTTCAAACTCAACCAATTAAAAACCTTAAAAGCAAAAACTGTGTTAATATATTCAATGAATAAGCAGAAAGACTAATACAGCCATTACAGCTGTGTCAATACGTGCGTTCTCTTCAACGAAACGAACACAAAAGTGATTTTAAAGTTGCAATTTCTGTAGTGTCTTCACCGTCGATTTCCACTGGTTGCCATATTGATAGACAATCGCATGTAGCAAAAAGGGTTTGTGTTGATTTTGTGCTCAAAACGAGTTGATCTTGAACCCAAGAAGATGCAATCCTAAATGTACAAGTAAATATTCAACATGTTTTAACTCGCAAATTGAGAAGTAAAAGGACAAGATTTAAGCCCGAATGGCGGGATCACAGCACGGCTAACTGTACCGCTCGGCCACACAAGCTAGTGACGTGGAAACCCGCCGACAACATTACAACTGTATGTGACAGAACAGCATTTATTGTCTTCCGAATCACACCATAGGCTCCCAATAAATAGTATCTTTCACTTTTGCTTTGTCACCCTCGTTGCAAATATGAAGAGCTTTGCTTTGCGTCGCTATCAAAAGTTAACTTTGTTTGACACTTTATGTTTTACCAACAGCAAAGACAAAGATGAAAAAAGTATACACAATGTCAGCCATTGCCATGTGGTGAATCAAGACAATAACGCGCGTGTTCTTAGTCAATGTAATGGCGTTGGGGATCATTTAAATTTTCTGTTTAAACTTAGCTAACAAATATATTTTGCGGTTTTGGTAATTTAGTAATTTAGCTTTGTGGATAGTTTAACTTGATTGTTTGGAGTTAACGTATTCTGTACTATCATACATAGCTACTCCTGTGAAATAACGACGTTTTCAAATATCGTCTCATCTCTTTTCTTATGAAATAATGACTTTTTGAAATGTCGTTCATATCGTCTCTAATGACTACATTGACTGCTTTAACTGTATTTGTCTACACAACATACATTTTGTGATTGCTCAAGAAACAAGTACCTGATGTTTGCTTATAAGTACTAAACATACCAAACAGACGATACTCCCGGCTTAAACCATTTACATTTAACATATTTTGTTGAAAAAATATTTTCATGTAACCATGTAGTAATTTTTGTAAAAAGCAGCATTTGAAAAGCTGTCACTTGATAAGATTTAAATCAGAAAGTCATCATTTTATAAAATTCGTCTTTTTAACGTTCTTTGTTTTTCCTTTGTCTACCTTATATGTTTACCTTTGTGTCTATCTTTATATCTACCTTTATGTCTACCTTTATGTCCACCTTTGTGTCTATCTTTATGTCTACCTTTATGTCTACCTTCATGTCTATCTTTATGACTATCTTTTTTCTATTTTTAACTACCTTTGTTGCCTTTTGTTAACTACTATTTTAACTGGTTTTGTTTTATTTTATCAGACGCACACAAAATCACAAAATCACAAAATCTTGTATATATATTTTTAGCATTTAAGTATTTTATTTATTAAATCCCCTGAAGAGTGAGAAATCATGAAACAGGCTTGTCGGGATGAATCTGTACTTTTGTGATTTTTTCTCAACACTACTACACATATTTACGCTCTGCTCCTCTCGGGCATCGAGCACTGTTTTATACGGAGAATCATCAAATATAAACTTCCTATTTATATATGTATCTATTCCTAAAATGAACTAAAATAAAATGGACAATTGTTTGCTGTCGCTACTCGGAGTTTCACGCCGTAGGGCGATCTTCAGGCAACTGACAGATTATATATTATTTGCTGACTATATACATCGACTAAAAGGTGTTAAGTTACATGACGGCATGCACTAAACATATCGGAACGTTTATTTAAAATGTTCTTTTTACGTCCTTTCAGGATAAGTAGCCTTTCTTCAAGGCAAAGACGGCAGGTTCTTTGGTTTTGTTCGAGGTAGAAGTTGTTTGATGAAGTCCCATTTAATGTTGTAGTTACGTTTGTTTTCTTTCAGTGTCCACGTGTATTTAGAAAGTTCTGTCTCTGTTCCGGTATTTAATGTTCGTAATGGATTTAATGTGGTTTCGATATCGTGTCTTAAAAGCGCATGCAGTAACACCTATGTAAGTTTTGTTTCTGTTGTTGTCAGTCGTTGTCACGTCGGCTTTGTAAATCACGTTGGGTTTCAGGCAATTGCCATTTGTCGGCATAGATGTTTCTGTCTGCAGTTATATTTCTTGGTGGGTTGTTCTTGTTCTGGGTTGTGTCTAAGTTAAGTCTTTTAAAATAGTCTTGTTGTGTCTGGTTATGAAAGTTTTCATGTTTTCGCAGCTGTAGCTTACGCGTATTGTGTGTCGGTTAAATATCTTGAGAGTAGTATTTGGTGGGAAATGTTTGTCGATAAGTTGTAGGAAGTCATGGGCGATGTGTGTTTTTAGGTTTTTGCTGTATGGTGGGTTAAACCAAGTGACGTTACGTTTTCTGTTGTACGTGGTGTTTACATTGATGTTTGATGGATTAAAGGTGAGTTGGGTGGTGAAGTTGCTTTGTTTAAGAGCTTGGTTGTAAATTGGTGCGGCATTTTCGAAGGTGTCTTTGCCAGATGAGAGTGTGTTAATTCGGTTGTTGATAGATGTGGGTAGTTGGCGTAATACTGGTGGTGGGTGGTTGGACGATCTGTGAATGTAGAGGGGCTCGTCATTGGGTTTTTTATATGGTTTGTAGGTGTCGTTGCTAAGGTCAAGTGTTACGTCAAGGAAGTTTGTGCGTTCATGGTTTGTCATCGCTGTGATTTTTAGTCCAAGCTCGTCAAATAGGTGTGAGAGGGTTTTTCTTTCTTTGTCGCAGAGTCTTCCAGATTTCGTATTTATGACTGCAAGGCCATCGTCACGGTATAAGCCGACGTTATTTCCGTACCGTTGCTGTAGTTGGTCGAGTAAGAATAGCCCTACAAGCTTGCAAACTTCCGCTCCATCATAGCTGCCCATGGTTACATCAAACATGTTGGTAGCGTTGCGTTTCGACCATGATTTGTTTTGGTGGAAAAGAAGTGATTTTCTTGCGTGTTTTATAATGGTGTGGTCTTTTTCTGTGATTGTTGTGTATTGTTTTGCCCACGCTAGGCATTTGTCCAGTAGGTGTTCGGTGATCGAAGGGTAAAAGTCAACTATGTCGAATGATATGAATGATTTTCTTTGTTTTTTGGTGATGGATTTGAACCAAGTGATAGCATCTGTTGTGTTGCGCCATTGGTTTAGTTTTAGTTTGTTTCGTATTATGTTGTTGATGTTGTCAGGATGTATTTGCTGACTTTTCCGAGGTGGCTTTTGCGGGTTGATGAGGCGGCATTTGGGGTTGTTTTCAAAGTCTGGTTTGTGGTCTTTTAAAGATATGAATGCTGGAGTATGGTTCATGGTGTTTATTCGGTCGGCGATTTTTAGGTTGTCAGCGATTAGTTTTAGTTCGGAATTTATTTCTTCTACAGTGTCTTCTTGCGTGTGTTTGTATGTCTTTGTCACATTGTCTGTTAGTAGTTTATTGTAATTTGAGGCGTACATTTCATAGATGTTTGTTGTTTTGTCGGCGAAGATGAAGACGTTGTTTGATGCGTTGATTTTGTTCATGTCTTTGTGTAAAGATTTTAGAAAATCGTTGTGGATGTTGCGGAACTCGATGTTTTCGATTAACTGGGAAAGGTCGTCTTCAAAAGGTTTTAAGGATGGAACTGGTGGTGGATTTCGTTTTGTCTTTAAGCCATAAGTGTGCGGTCTTTGTGTGCGAATGGCGTCGTCAGTGTGGCGGAGAAGGAAGTGAGCTTTCCATCTCATGCGTTGTACGAATTCGTGGGTTTTGGTGATGAGGTTTCTGAGATAACTGTCTTTAGCTGGTAGGCCGATGTTTTTCAGCGAATAGTTAAAGTTAATCTGTTGCATAATTGTCCTCGAGTTTTCAGGTTTATAACAGCGCTCACTGTTATAAACCTGAAAACTGAAAGAAAACAAACGTAACTACAACATTAAATGGGACTTCATCAAACAACTTCCACCTCCGAACAAAAACCAAAGAACCTGCCGTCTTTGCCTTGAAGAAAGGCTACTTATCCTGAAAGGACGTAAAAAGAACATTTTAAATAAACGTTCCGATATGTTTAGTGCATGCCGTCATGTAACTTAACACCTTTTAGTCGATGTATATAGTCAGCAAATAATATATAATCTGTCAGTTGCCTGAAGATCGCCCTACGGCGTGAAACTCCGAGTAGCGACAGCAAACAATTGTCCATTTTATTTTAGTTCATTTTATCTTACGCTCTTCTAATATATAGAAACGCTCTTTTATCCAGGAATATTATCCATAATAATATATCTATTCCTATATATATATATACAAAGTGTTTGTAACAAAATCTTTGTAAATAATATATTGTCACATTCTGACGAAGGCTCGAAGCACCGAGTTGAAAGCTTAATAAAAAATTTAAAACAAATCCAGAGAATCCTTATCATTATCATATACAAAGTGTATATACAATGTGCCCTCCAGGCTATCACCACAGTAAAATGGTGACTCCTACACTTGGGACACAGGACGTACGGTTACACGTTGTATGGATTGTATTGTAGAGTCACCACAGCGCTCAAACCTATAAAAGTGAGCTTTGCATATCGCGAACACGGTGAACGTCTCCATAAGAGACTCTCTACACAATCCGACAGTGCTTAAACTACCCACGAGCAGTGAGCGTAGTATACAAAGTGTATATACAATATATTGCACAATACATATACTTTATGGAAAAAATTTTCCCCATTTTTGGACAACAATTTAATGTACGAATTATTATATATAATGAGTTATTTTCTGAACAGCATATGAACTTTTTTACTTAAATATTTGCAGAACTGTAAAGTTTAAAACATTTGTCTGAACTGTAAAGTGTTAATATATCCAATAAATAAGCAGAAAAACTAATACAGCCATTACAACTATGTCAATACGAGCGTTCTCTTGAACGAAACGAATATAAAAGTAATTTTAAAGTTGCTATTTTCTGCTGTGTTTTCACCGTCAATTTCCACTGGTTCCATATTGATAGACAATCGCATTTAGCAAAAATGGTTTGTGTTGATTTTGTGCTGTGTAACGCAGATGCCCATTGGAGCAATCTTTTAACATGGTTGTTTAGGCCAATTTGAATTCAAATCAAATTGTAATTGAATCAAACAAAAAAAAACTAATATACAGCCATAAGAGCATAGGCGTACAGGAACTTTCAGTAGTTATGGTGCAGGTATGGTCCCGGAAGTAAACGGAGCTCTTACCCGTGTCAATTAGTTTCCAGTCCTAAGAAGTAAACAGGGCGCGCGCGTGTAAACCGGAAACGAACTTAGCGGGGGAATGTTGAATGTGATAGGTTATCGTAATAAAGGGAAATGAAACAATTGACAAGAAATATTATCTAATTTATTAAAGCATCCAATAAAATGTCTTAAAGCCCTCATTGTGTATTTCATTACACGATTCACTATATAGTCGAACTATCGTCTTAAAAAATGTTATTTGCGTTGTTCATTATTGCATTGCTTTTGGACGTTTTGAAAAAAGACAAAAAATATGGCACACATGTTTAATCAGATATATGCAGACACTGTTGAGTTTGAAGAAGTTAGTCACAGCGATCTTATCAATTTGATTTTCGTCGATTTTATAAGTAAAAAGATTCAAGAGCTACGAAGAGCTGAAAAGGATGAAAGTAAAGCAGATCCTTGGGTAGAGTATCAAAACGTTTTAGAAATGATGACTGAGGAAGATCGTTGGTTCAATTTTGCAGCTCGAGCAGTCGAAACAATTAATCGCGAACATGTCTGGAATGGAATATGTGAAGCCTTTAAGTTTCTAAAGAACTGTGGACCTTCGAACTCTCACAAGACATATTTTGACAAACTGTTTAGTG